TCGTCTTGAAAATGATACAGTATTCGATTCCAGATTTTAAATGTCAAAATTTATGTTCATCCACAATGTGTACAATGTTCAGAAATGTTATTGATTCTTTGTTTGTCTATGTTTCGTTTGTTTTATTGTTTATGCTCTTTCATAACTAACAAAAAAATTATCCGAATTATGCGACAAATATGCACTTCACTGTTTTTGTTGAGATTGAAGTGAAGTTGAGACGGTAAAAGTTCTCGACTAACCACTCGAAAAGTGACATACATTTCGCATTATTTAAATCCCATCTTAGAAATGATTAGTTTAATCACCTCTTGAAAATTGGTTTGATCCCGTTCAATACCGAGAACATGTAGGTATACATATTCATTAAAATTCGTTCATACATTTACAAGCATTTTCAGTAGCTTCTGAACAAATGAGCCATAAAAACCGACCAATATGTATAAAGCAATGACTGAACACGTTTGGCAAATTTACATGGTTGCAATTGTTTGCACCGGTCATTAATGTCATTCATATTACTCGTCTCTTTCTCCGTCCCTCTCTCCCTCTCTCCCTCTCTCCCTCTCTCTCTCTCAGTCTATCTTTCTTTGTGCTGATGATTAAATGGACACGTTCAGAAGTTCGCCTGTTCAGGCCCACTTAAACAACTTTGCATTGTCTGCCGAAAAATAAAAGACTTTTCTTACTACTTACGGCCATTCACTTTTGTTTAATATAATAATAATACAACCTAATAATGAGAAGGAAAAAATGGTCATATTATTTGTAGTTGAACCAAAGGCATTGATTTTCATTTACTAAATGAAATGAAATACCTAAAAACTGTCTGGCGCATCGGTTTGTATTATCTATAAGTTCTGTTGTTGTTTGAATGAAGTGCATGAACAATTATGCTTTCAAAAAAAACTTTAACAAAAAATTAAATATCAAATCAATGGCATCAATTTCTACGGGCTTCCATCGAACTTTAAAATGGCCAACTCAAAGATAAAAAAAAGGTTTGCATTTTACAAAACATATCAAAATTACAGCTAAAAATGTTGTTTCGAAAGTGATAAAAAGCGATAAAAAGCGGCATCGTATCCAGCATTTGTTCGAGTCATATATTTTCTTTTTCAATGCAGGTGCATAGGTTTTATTTCGCCAAAAAAGAGAAACCCAAATAAATTTTTATATCTATTTTCTGGACGAATAGAAATCAGCTCACGCAAAGGTGCAACAATCCACCAAACGTGTGGCACATGAAATTCAAGTGGAAAATAGGCAATTTGAAAACTAACGAAAAGACATGGCGCCAAATATTTAATAAAGTTATAAAAAAAAATATATCGTCAACACACTCAATCAAGAGAGTGAAAAAATTGAATCGAAAATAAATCTCGTTTTAATTTTTTTTGCTGTTGTTGATACGTGTGCGTGTCTCCGCCTTGTTGAGATCAAATAAAAAAAAAATCAACTCTTCACTTCTACAAAGTACATGTAAGACCGAATTTCAATTATAAGAGATATTGGAATCAAGATGAAAAAAAAAAAAAAAACATTGTAATGCCCGACACCGCCGACAACGTAAACTAAATGGAAAAAGAGTCGAGTTGCCGAGTGATCTTTGACTATCCACCACAAAATCGTGTCTATCTAACCACTTAACTTGTTCATTCTGAAGCGGATAACGCTGAGGCAAATGCATTTACTGTTGCACTGGATATTCAGTGTAACAAACGACGGTGTGGTCTTATTCAATTTGCGTTTCCCTTTTTTTTAATATCGCTCTTTTGGATACATCAAATTCGCTATTCAATTCAAAAAAAAGTTCATAACGAAGAGGTTGAACGGAAAAAAATGTATGGGAAAAGTACGTTGCTTGAAACTTAAGGAAACTGCATGATGATGCCTGTGAACTAATCTAATTTTACATTCCCTCAGCCATTCATTCGACGGTCGACAAGCAGCAAATCAAGATGCACATGACTACTCTATTGTCGCTATTATCCACTTAAAATGGAAAGTGTGTCTATCAATACTGTATGCAACGCCGTCATCATACCAGTGAACTTGTACAGTAGTCAAAAGAAAACCAAATTCAATGATTTACATTAATCGAAACTGTCCTTTTCATGGATGCTATCAATGGTTTTTCCCATGGTTTTCTTGCCATGTATCATTCACAGCGGAGCAGCGATCCACTCAACGTGTTCTATATGTAATTAGTTGTAAACAATTTGAAGTGTTTTTGTCGTATATTTTGTCGTTGCTTGAAGAAGACCGCTGACTCAAGCGTGTTATCAACATTGAAAGAAAAATGGGTGTTTCGTAAGCGATAAGAGCATGATCACCACATCGAACAAAATGTTAAATGGTTTCGTTTGCCGGTGTGTCGCATCAACTTCAATCAACCCAATGCCGATTGATTTCAATCAATTTGATGCATTCGGTTCCATTCATACGTTATTTTTCAGACGGTGAAAACATTCCGATATTTCTCATGCACACCGATCAGTGCAAATGATTTCTTGGTTTGTGTTTAGTTTCAATGGCTGGCGGCCAGATGCTCACCGTCTTTCTCAATGAACTTGATGCGACAATTTGTTTCCATTAGAATCTAACGACATAAGTGAGACAAAAATAAATGATTATCTACATTGTTAGTCGTATAATGCTTCTGTTTGTATTCATTTTCTTCACGCTACGGAAGATGTATGGAAATTTTCTTCATTCAGCTCTCAACTCTTTTTCTCGAAATGACGGCTGCAATTTAACATTATTAGATAAGACAAAAATGTTGTCGATGCACATGTCGCTAGACATTCGAACGTCGGTATTTCAAGAAAAATTATGACATTTTATGATATTTCTTCTCATAACAGATCACTGACGATGCGCCATGTGCCATGCGGCTGAATTTGCTAATGAACTTTCATCTTTCTTCGATCTTGTAATTTAATGGTTACTTGAAATTTTGTTGTTGAGATTAGGTTGTGGCGCGTGGTAAAATAACCAATATCAAATATTTGAATAGACATATGTATATACATGGTTAATTGGTTTGGCTCTCTTTTCTCTTTAAAAGTAACAACATCATGCAATTTGTTTTGGAAGATTTTATGGAAGAAAAAAAATAATTCGAAATTGGTTTTATAACAGCATTTTTAACTCGATTAGCAATTAATTGTTAACGCATTTGATTATAATAACTGGTCATAAAAATGTTATTTTTTTTTTTCAACAATCGTCGACTTCATATTTCGTTTTATGCATTTTGAAGAGTGTAACACGCAAAATATATACAAAAAATAATTAATTTAAGTTTTTTCTGTGTTTTATTGCCATAGACAAGTGCATCTTGAAAACTCTATATGATAAAATGGAATATGCACACTTTATCTGCGGCTTCTTTTTTATCGAAATCTCTTGCATTTTTCTGTTTCTTTTTAGTTGTACGCAAGAGAGGCGGCGATAATAGGCGACAACAGGAACACAGTTTGAACTGTCTCTCCCTCTCTCGCTCTTATTCCCTCTCTCTGTGTGTGCGCGTTCCGTTCATGCATGAGACGAAAAATAAAAGTTGGTGCATTTTTCATTCTCGTCAAAAATGTTGTAACGGCGCCAACAATATAATAAACTTGAATGATGCGTTTTGTATTTCAAACACACAAAAAACGAGAATTGACACCAAACATAATCAGCAAATGTCACCATTTCTAAAACATCAGTTCGAGCTGTTGGCGCAATAGGCAATCTATTTCAAAGGAGTTCAAGCAAGACCAAAATGAGAACTGCAAAATGTTCTTCTCTGAATTGTTTAAGTCAGTACACGTTTAATTGAGGATGAAATCGAAATGAATATTGCCATAACCGATCCCGGATGGAAAACGGAGACAGCGATTTTTGCTGATTTTTTTTTTCACATTGACACTTCATATTAAAACTTTCGCTTCCTTCGTCAAAATTCGATACATTTTCATGCCAAATGTGTTGAATTCTTCTTTAAAAAAAAAAACAAATGTGAGTCAATTGTATCAAAATTCTTCAAGATGTCTCAAATATATTTGGTTTTGGAAAAAATGGTATATGTAAAATGCCCTTGGCCCTTGAAGTCAATAAGGATAAAAACACCAAAAGGAATTCCATTATAATGAATCGTTGTGATACCGAAGTATGTGTCATATATTACCTTTTTTGTTGTATTTCATTTTCTCTCCGTCATTCAGGCACAATTCATTCAGCAATTTTCAAACATTGCTTCTACTGCTTAATCAATGGGCGACTTCCGAAAGGAAATGAAAATTTTTCTTCTCTCTTTTGTTTTTCTCTTTTTTTTTTGCACAGAAATTCGTCTGCAAAAACTATTTCAATGCACTCATTTGCTTTGTTCATAATTTTTCTTCATGATTCCGTTTTGCGCTTGCCATTCGCTGGCTTAGTAGGTGGCAATTTATAGCCAATTCAACTATTCATCGACAAACATTCACAACTTAGTACAATATATTGGTGTTGGTATAGAACTTTGACTGGGTCTCTCTGATGAGTTAAAATGCATTGAAGAAAATATTCACACACGAATATAAATGATGGAGAAAAAAACCGGCACTTCATACACCAATTGCCGACAAAATAATCCAGCATATCAAAGAATTGAAATGACATTCAAGTTTCAAGTGGGAAATGCATTTAGAAACTTGTTCGTTTTTTTCATGTTCAAGTCATTTTGTTTTGCGTTACATATTGCATGGTTAATTCAGCGCACACTTTTTAAACTTAACCGAAAGAAGGAAGAAAGAACTTTTGTAGCGCACAATTTAAAGTTATTTATTTTTCGGGCATCATACCAAAATTGATTAATTTTACCATAGATGTCGTTGTTAACAGTCAAACTACACAACCATAAACACTTGTTCAAATAGCAAATTCACCACAAATTAAATTGAACTACAATGCAGAAGCATTACATTGAACACATTGAATGGTAAAATGTCAAATTGACATTTTCATCAAGTATTACGACTTTGTTATTGTAGCTGCGACACGATATCGTAGTATTCAAATCAAATTTCATTCAATCAACGTGCGAATTTATTAATCAACTGAATATAACGTAAACGAAAATAGAAATTAAAAAATAATTAAATAAAAACAACAGTGAAAATGGTGAATGCCGAAACATTAACTGATGTTCAAAAGAAAATTTTTGAAGCGATTCCAACTGGGGATATCGGTGATTTGAAAACACTTTTAGCTCAATTACAAGGAACAACCGATTTTGTTGATGAAAATGGCATGACACCATTGCAGCATGCATGCTACAAAGGAAATACGGAATTAGTACAAACCCTTTTGGATCAGGTGAGTAAAATTAAAATCGATGCTCAACAATTAATTGGGTTGAAAGATTTCTCTCAAATATTGAGGTTATGTGATTGCATATGGAATATTCTGGTAAGCATGTCAATGTATTTGTTTTTTTTCTTTGTTCCTTCGATTTTAGGGAGCCGATGTGAATTCGAGTAAGCATGGTGCAAATTATACAGCTTTACATTTTGCAGCTCTGTCTGGAAATGCCGAGATTTGTTTGAGACTGTTACAGGTCGGTGCGAATCCAAGTGCACAAAATTCTGTGAATCGTACACCAGCTCAAATGGCTGCATTTGTTGGTAATCATGCTGTTGTTGCATGCATCAATAACTACATACCAAAATCGGAAATTGAATATTTCACAAAGATTCGAGGTCAACAAACTGAACCAATATTACCAGTTATATTGTTGGATTCAATACATAAGTTTATCATACAGAGTAATGTGCATCCAGTTCGAATTGCGCTTAATATACAGAAATTTGGCACATTGTCGGAACATTTAAAAATCGTTAAAAAAGTGCTTGAACTTTTGACCGAGCGTGAAGTACAGAAACGAAATGAAATTAACGAAATCATGGCATTTAAGTATCACTATTTGGGTTACATTGTGGGCGAGATCATAAAATGCCGTGAATATTTCCAGTCACGGAAGGAATCACAAGATGGTACTGTTACAGCCACCGATGCCAGTAAATCGGATTTTGTCGAATTATTTGCCAAGCGGGTAATTTTTTTTTCATATCCGCCAATTCTTTATATCTATAATATTTCCATTCTTTTGTACCTGCCCCATATACCTATAGGTATTAAAGGAGAATAAACTAGGTCAATTGGAATACATTGAGTCAACTGTACGCGAATGCGTACGAGAATTTCCATTTAGAGAATCAACGGTTTTCAAACAAGTACTAGTTCAATTGACTAGCAAAGATGCTCTACCAGCATTGGATGTTATAAGAGGTTCGATCAATGGACAAAGAGGATTTGTGGTATGTTTGTCTAACATTTCTATTATTATTTGCAAAAAAGCATTGAATTGGAAAAATAACATGTTATTTTTATTTGTTTCCTTTCAGGATGACATCACTTATTGCAGCACATGTGGCGAAGAAAAGCCTGATAAGAAATGTTCAAAATGTAAGCAGGTGCAATATTGTGACCGTGAGTGTCAACGCCTCCATTGGTTTGCACATAAAAAAGTCTGTGCACGTCCGTTATCAACTCGAAACACTAGTGGCGAATCCAAACCAGAAATTGATTCGGCTGAAATCAGTGAACAATTGCAAAACCTCATCACGCGTTAGTGTTTCCAAACAAAAATACAAACAAAACAGCGATTTCACTTATCGTTTTTTTAAAACAATTCTCTTAATCGTGTTTTAAACATAAAATTTATGTATATTGTAACTTGAAATTTCTAGAGACACAAATTTTACAATCATTGGTTTACTTTTTACACTGTCTTTGGTAGAATATGTAAAACAAATGAACCCAAAAATATTTAAAAACAAAAAAAAAAGACGAAAGAATAAAGTTTCGAAATCATATTGATCCTTTTGAATTTTGAATTGGTTTTCATTCAATTTTTCTAAGTACAGAAAATGGCATCGGTTTGGTGGAGCTTATTTAAAATCCCAAAATATTCCTGTACATAATACGATTGCATTTTTTTCGAAAAGTGTAATTCAGAGCATGTGAAGCAATGCGCCTACTTAGCAACTGCATTGTGTCAAAAACGCGTAATGTATTTGTGGCTATGCCCAGCAAGCGTTCTCTTCATGAGGTTTATAGAGTTTCATCACAGCAAATTCAATATTTTCACAGTAGAGTAGAGCGTTCTGTATAGCTTAGAGAGCAATGATATAAAGGTTATAAAGCCATTTAACCATTAAGCCATTCGTAAATATTGGCCAATTGTCGAAATGACACCAAAAAAATGCACAATAAATTATTTGAAATAAATCTCATTGTGACTCAGTTGTAATCGTTTGTATCAAATAAAACGATTTTACAAACCATCAAGGCCTGACCGCCGCGCAATCTCATTAATATGGTATTTTGGTGTGTATTTTCTACATGGTTGCACTCAAAAATGTAGATAACAGGTGTCAATTGAACAATAATTTATTGTTGTTTTTGAACAGCTTTATTTATTATTGTCAATAAATATCTCAACTAATTACAGTGTTGATTTTCATAACATTTTATTACTTCTTTTGGCGGCGTGTATGGTTTAAACCAGCCAAAGTAGGGAAATTATAATATTTTAATGAAAAATAACTATCGTGAGTTCTATATTCCAGTGTCCCTACTTAACTTTCACAAATGACTCATTTCTTCACATACTAGTACTCCTTTAGTGTCTAAGATAAAAAGAGAAATCTTCTGCAAATACAGCGGCATGAAATAGAGTAGACAATAAAAAAATGTTTGATTCATTCCCTTGTGAAAAAAAAAATGTCTGACTGACTATAAATTAAGTCACTTTTAATCACTTTTATTCGGTTAAAATTACCAATAGATGATTGAAATCGAATATAGTCGGTTATGTTTCAGAGTTAACTAAAAGTGATTATAGTCAACATAGTTGACAAAAGTCAATTTCATATACTTATAACTATAGTTAACCGTAGTTAACTATGATCACAATCGACATTTCTCAACTCAAATTAGACGAAGACGCATATAGTCACTTATAGTTAACTTTAGCTGGCTGAGATATCAGCCATTTTCGTCCCAAATTAGTCAAATTTTAGTCAACTATGAAGTCGAAATATTTCCACAAGGGTTTGTGTTCTTATTGGAATTTATTTCGATTCACCTTGAAAAGCGATAGATCTCATTGGATTTTACATTGAACGGAATTCCCATGTTGAAAGGGGAAAAAGAAAGAAAAAATTGTGCGCAAAACGAAAACTAAAGCCGCAAGATGCAACAACGCTACTTAGTACTTATTTTTAATTGTGTGTGCATAACAAGCGATGAATTTACAACGAGCAAAAAGCTTGAGCGTGAAACGAGTTTTACAATATAAAATCTTATTACACACATTGGTATTGTTAAGCAGCGGGTCATCCACAACTACATTGATCATAGGTGCAATAGTACATTCTCAGGTAGAACAAAATTAAATACAAAACCGCATTGTTGTTTCTTTTTTCAAAAAAAAAAAAAAAAAAAACATTTGTTATTGATTCACATTGGCCTTTATTTAACCACCGAGTCGTACATCTCTCATTGTTGCTTCTCAGTGCGCGTACACATATTCGCTTGCATATTCGACTCGGCCGTACTTGAATATAATATAAAAACAAAACAAAATAAAGAGTCTTACGGGAGTAAGATGAACTTTTCCGAACGGTGGTAGATGCGTATTTTATTAAGAAAGTTCAAGATAATATTTGTTCGATTTTTCAAGCCTTTCAGGCGGCGTAAAGTTCGAGACCAAAAAATATGTTTCAACTTTGGCAACGAAATATTCTTTAATTTAATAGCAGATGTACACGAGAAAAGATTTTTCACACTTTCATGATGAATCCATTTGTACGACATTTGAAAGTATTCTATTTTCTAACAAAACACTATAAAAAATATATCTGACGTTAATTTTGCCATAAACATTATTTTTGAAACACTTTTCATACAAATGTAAAATAAAATGGATTTTTGTATGGGAATCATGCCTGTATGGTATCGTAAGCACGTGAAACTTTGCACAGATTATTTTTTTCGTAAATAAACGTTTTTGAACCAAAAATTGAAAATTTTGTCTGGGAGGTACCCCTAATTTTGATTAAAATCTCTTCAAACTTTCAGAATGTTATTTTTTTGTGTACAAAATAGTCTGTGCAAAGTTTCACGTCATTAAGGTTCTATTCCTCGGGACCCCCAATCATCCCGTGAAGTCAGATTTTAAATAACTTTTTTGGGGGTTGATATAATCGATGGACAAATTTTGCGTACAACCATGCTCAAAACGGCCGGATTCGGGTTCTCTGACCTCAGAAACGTCCAGAAAACATGTTTTTGAGATGTCGTAAATTTTGATCCATGCAATACTTTCCCCTTACACACTAGGTGTGTGCGGAAAAGTAAAAAACGTTGGTACCAATGACGATGGATCAAATTAAATGATCACATACACACACAAAAATGCATATGGGATACATGTTTATTACTCTTCGTACCACAGAATGCATTGGATCATACATTTGCCGTGGCCAATCTCAGATCAAAATTTAATTGTATTGCATGCGTGAATCCATCGGAGGTTTAAAGCGAAGAGGTGAATACTAATTACATTTTTCGCGTAGATTTGCCAGCGTTTGCAACATGACATGGGCACTATAAGCCAAGCATCAAAAAAACAAAACTTGTCGCAATGATGTACTTTTAATAATATACTGAACGGCATATTTATGTGTGTATGTGTTTATTCTAAATGTGCCTCTCATTCAACTCATTCAAAAGCGAAAAAGAAACAATAGCGTTGTTCTTTTTTTGTTTTGTTTTGTTTTCTGCAGTTCAGACTCATTTTATTTTTCAACCATACCACGATAAAATCGACAATGTATATATGATCGCTCTCGGCATGTCAAACGTTTTTAAAAGCGAAAAAACAGCATTCAAAATGTGTAGAAAAAAAAAGAACAATAATGCAAGAGCCCACGGCACGGTGCTTGATGCTTGTCATTTTTGTGCGCTGTATACTAAACAAAGTGAGGTCTTTCATGCAACTCATGCTTCTCCACTGCTTCAGTTGAGTTTTAGCTCTAAAGCCGGATAAACACGGAAACAGACACACGGGGCAATATAAGATACAACATTTAACATAGTTTAATTGTTTTGGTTTTATTTTCGTCTTTGTGATTTCTAGTGCTTCAATTTTGTTGTTACGCCATTGTTGAAACTGATCTGTTTACTCGAAATCAATTGTGATCCTTAAATTGTCATTCAATATTTTTTTTGTCTTATTTGTGACGCCAATCGAGAATTTATCAGTGATACTCAAGTATTGATTGATGCTGTTGTTGCTGCATTCTGCATTTATTTTACCTGTACAAATATTTTGTAGAGAGAGAAAGTGATTGTTTTAGGTGATATTTGCAGCAATTTTTGTGTTAACGGTAATAGAACTGAATAGAAAAATCAAATAGTGGCTTTAGATTAGTTATTCGTCATTGTTTTTGACCATGGACACGCATGAAAATTGAATGCGAAAGAACAATTGTTTTTTTTTTTTTTTTTTTTTTTTTTGAAATCATCTGAAAATACGTAGGCGACCATTTAAGTTTCTTCAATATGTATGTTTTAGTATTGCCCGATGCAAACCATTGTCATATTCGTTAAGTTTAACATTTTGTAGCATAAACGTTCTCAGAACGTTTTGTCATTCGATCGTTATTTGTATTGTTTACCGTAACATGTAAATTGCGTCTCAGCCAAAAAATGAATTTTACTCGTGAAAATTTTCGAGCGATTATTTTCTTCCACTTTCGATTGGGTGTATCACAACAACAGTGTTTTGATCAACTTCATTTGGCCTTTGGCGATGAAGTACCAAGTCTTCGGACAATTTATAATTGGTACAACGAATTCAAGCGCGGTCGCCTATCGCTCATCGACGAGTTCCGCGAAGGTCGTCCAAAATCAGTTGTTGTACCAGAAAACATCGATGCTGTCAGAAATATGATAATGGAAGATCGTCATGTAACATATCACGAGATTGAGGCATCCCTGGGCATTAGTGCGACCGCCGTACAGTCCTGATTTGGCACCCAACGATTTCTTTTTATTCCCGAGCGAGAAGAATAAACTGCGTGGTCAACGATTTTCATCGCCCGAAGAAGCAGTTGATGCGTTCAAAACACACGTTTTGGAGATATCACTTTCGGAGTGGCATGAATGCTATGACAAATGGTTCGAGCGAATGCAAAAGTGTATTGATCATCATGACGAATATTTTGAAAAACAATAAAACCATTTTCGATGAAACCCCATTGTCTTATATATGTTTTTGAAAAAACTTAAATAGTGACCCTCGTAAAAGTGTTACATGAATAAAATCATGAGCAGAGTTTCAACAGAATCAACATGTCATAAAATGTGCTACGCAGATTGATGTTTTATTTTCAAATCGTGATTTTTACTCTCCTACTAAATGTTGTTCTATTACCAAGTAATAAATCGGAAATATATAATGAGTCATTTATTACCGATAATTAAATGCTCACATGAAGTCAAAGCCATTGAATACAACATACCATTTGAATTTGCTATTCGTCATTTCTGATCAAATTGATGAAAGCTCACAAGCATGCTCACAAGTCTATCGTTTTAGAATGCAGTGAATTGCATTGTGTCTTCAGAATAAATTATTTAGTATTCACAATCTTGTATTTTTCCCACACATTCATAAGCTTGTACAGATGAGTATCGGGCACCGACTTTGAATAGTCGTTAAACGACGTAAGCAAATTTGAAAAAAAAATGTAACCAAACAATGTGATTCCGTGCTTAGAAATTAATTCCTGAATAATAAAATCGATTTAAATACCTGATTATAATAATGTCTTACCTAGCATGAAATCGTTACCATAGTTGTCAACAATCGTGAGCGGTTTGTGACAGGTTGACTAAGACCTTCTTAGATAATGCGCTTGCTAAGCAGACACAGGTGCGATTTCATGCTCTGCAAAATAAAGTTTTGCTCATGTCTCTGTTGTTATTGGCAGACTTAACCGGCTCGTTTGCGCGTGGTAAATGCGATTGTCAGACATTATAATGAGATATTTTCAGCCAGATGAATTAGCTCAGCCAGATATCGTAAGGAGCTGAAATTTTGTGAAAACAATAGAAGTGATTGTTACGGTTATAATTACACTTACATTCCTATAATCACTATAACAATCACTTTTATTGTTTTCACTCCATTTCAGCTCCTGACGATATCTGGCTGAGCTGATTCATGTGGCTGAAAATATCTCTTTATAATGTCTGGCGATTGTGATAAACAAAACGTTAAATGTAAACTGCTATTGCAATTTACTTGTTTTACCGTTTATGGTCATCAAATGAAAGTGCGGTTGATAAGGATCTATACAGCCATGGGACTGTAGTCAAAGCTTCGTTGTGATTTGTTTGTCGTTTACATTTGCACATACTGATGATTCAAGCTAATTTTGAGTATATTTTCCTATGCAGCACCTTGTTCCGTCCCCGCTCAAAATTAAACAATCATGAAAATCAAGAAGGAAAGATTTTTAAAATTATTCCAAGAACAACTGCTTACGATTTCAACATTGGCCGGTGTTGTTTTGGGTATTATTCTCGGTCTAATTGTGCGAGCATCATCTTCATCGCAATGGGGCCAACGCGAAATAATGTACGTCAAGTTTTTGGGTGAACTTTTTTTGCGTATGTTGAAAGGTATGTGTGTTTATTTTTGCTTTGACTCCTATCTTGCCCTACCCGAGTGAAAAATGGCATTGAATTTTTCAATGCGTAGTGTCAAACGGCATTTAAGCAATAAATCGACACCGCATGGCTATAGCGATGTGGTGTATGCACTCAACGTGCGCACGGACCATGCGGTCTCGATTTATTGCTTAAATGCCGTTTGACACTACGCATTGAAAAATTCAATGCCATTTTTCACTCGGGTAACCATCTCCACATTTCCGCTTTTTTTTTTTCTTCGAAAGGATTGATATTGCCGTTGGTCATTTCATCGTTGATAAGTGCAATTGGCACATTGAATTTCAAAGCAACGGGTAAAATTGGCGGTCGTGCAATCACATATTATTTATCAACAACTTTTATAGCCGTTATTTTGGGTAAAGTATATATGATTTTTCAATTTCATTTATAACTTTCCAATTAAATGTTTCCTAATTCCATTTTGTCTCAGGCATAATACTTGTTGTAACTGTTCGTCCGGGCATTGATCGCAATCAAATGAATTCAACGGAAAGTGCACCACAAGGAAATAGTAAACTACGCACCACAACCACAGTCGATACAATGCTCGACTTGGTTCGCAATATGTTTCCACCAAATATTGTTCAGGCCTGTCTCGAACAGTATCAAACGGTTTTAAAGCCATCCAGTGACAACGACAGCAATAGTAAGTGATCCATACTATGTTAGAAACTAGTTCAATTCATCAATTAATGATTGTTTTGATTTTTTATCCAGCTGATATAAATATGTGGAAAATTGGACATACATATGGAAATGGCATGAATATTATTGGTTTGGTGGTTAGTGCGGTGGTATTGGGTATTGCGATGAGTAGTTTGCATGGTACCGTCAATACATTGTTGCATCTGGTGACTGAAGTGAGCACGATTATGATGAAAATCACATCGTGGGTCATTTTCATATCACCAATAGGTATTTTTTTCTTGACCGTGTCGCAAGTCATTGAAATGGACGATTTAAATGTTGTTGCTGGAAAATTGGGACTATACCTATTCACTGTGATTTTTGGCATTTTGTTTCATGGTTTTATAATACTTCCAATCATCTATTACGTCTTCACTCGAAAAAATCCATACAATTTCATTTTTAATGGCATGGGCCAAGCAATGATGGTGGCATTCGGAACTGGATCAAGGTCATTTTGCACAATATTCTCATTTTACTAGAGGTGTTAATTTGATTTGTTTTTTTGCAGTTCGGCCACATTGCCAGTTACAATTAAGTGTATCGAAGAAAATAACGGCATTAATCCACAGATTTCACGATTTATGTTACCAATTGGAGCTACCATTAATATGGATGGAACGGCATTGTATGAGGCAGTGGCTGCCATTTTCATCGCTCAATTGCGTGGAATTCCTTTGTCAATTGGGAAAGTTGTGGCGGTTAGGTAAGATATTCGAATATATATTTTTCTATTTCCATTCTATACTGGAGTTTGTGTTACCAAACATTCTTTTAACTAAAACAATCAAATTACTCGGCAGTATAACAGCGACTGCAGCAGCAGTGGGGGCAGCGGGCGTACCTCAAGTATGTTTTTTTTATTATAAAATTAAATTTTTCAATTCAAATCATTCAAATTTTGTGCATTTTTAATTAATCCAACAGGCCGGTTTAGTTACCTTAGGTAAGCTTTTACTTAGTGAACCAAATGAAGAGATCGAAATGTTTATATATAAAATTACTTCCTGTTACTTTTAACACTCATATCATACAAACCTTTTCAGTTATGGTCTTAGACGCAGTTGGTCTGCCTCCGGAAGATGTAAGCCTAATCCTTGCAGTGGATTGGATATTGTAAGTTAAATCTTGTAATATAAGTCTTAAGCGCAATCTAATCTATTCGATTTTTCAAAAGGGACCGTGTTCGAACCGTGGTAAATGTTCTCGGAGATGCGATTGGTGCTGGCATTGTGGATCATATCAGTAAAACTGATTTAACAAAGCCGGTAAATCCACAACAGGGCACACCAAATTCCAGCTATGAGATTGAAACTCAGATGGAAACTTAAGAACTTCAATATTCCTATAATGTTTTTCTTAAACGGTCAAAAATTTCGATAAAAAAATAAATTGACATATTTTTCTATATAATATAAGAGAATAGCTCATTTGAACGTTGTGATCCTTTTAAATTGATTCATTTTGTAATTTTTATCGTCTTTAAAAAAAAGGATCTAAATTGAAAAATGAATCAATTTAAAAGGATCACAACGTTCAAATGAGCTATTCTCTTATATTATATAGAAAAATATGTCAATATTCCTATAATGTTTTTTTTTTTAAACGCTCAAAAATTTCAATAAAAAAATAAATTGACATATTTTTCTATATAATATAAGGAAATAGCTCATTTGAACGTTGACAAAAATATTCAGATTAAGAACTTTATCAATAAAATGTATTTTTTAGCATTATATTTCAATTTAGCAATGAGACTTCATCGACATTGAGAAGAAAGAAAATAAAAAAGAGAAGCAACATTTTTATGGTTTCTTCACATCAGCGGTTTCAAAATACACAACATAATCGGTATGGAAGTAATGAAAAATTAAGCATGGTGATCTTTCTCTTATGCGGTAATAGGCTCACAGATAACAGAGACGAAGAAGGTAACCGGTTACGGTTGACAAAGGTCTGTAGTATATAAAATCTGTTTGAATTTTTAGTAGTAACGTGAATTTGAAATGCTTTTTTATATAAATTTGAATCTATCATCTAAAAAAGGCCAAATTATTGTATTAAAAAATGTCAGGCCCTATAAATGTAGACCTACGCTGTCTCTCCACGCTATAGACTTTGAAGACCGCTGAACTTGACAAAATAGTTTTATGATTTACGCCATGACAAATACTCTCAAATCAAAGCTAGATGTTTTTTTGAGAACATCTGGCTTTGGTTTGAGATGTTTGGCATGGTTTTTACGAGAGTCGAGCGCTATCCATATAAATACATTGTGACGTCACACATCTTACACAGAAACGACATCTTTGTAAAACAGACTAACTACAATGTAAAAGTATAGCGAGAGGGGAAGGGAGTAAATAAAAAGGGGAAACAGATACGTTTGATTTACATTGTAGTTAGTCGGTTATTAATAGATGGCGTTTATATAGTGTGCCCTTATTGCGCTTGACTCTCGGGTTTTTAAGAAAACCTCAGTGACTATTTTTGCGCTACAATAATAAATCGGATGATCATTTCCAATGGATTTTAATCACTCAATGAGATATTTTTCCAATACAATCGCATCGGCAATTAGTGAAGGAATGAAGTCTGCAATATTATTCGGTTTCATTTGTTGTACGATATTTATTTTCTCCTTAATTTCATCTAAAAAAAAACATTTGGAATTTAAATAGCACCAAAATTTCATATCACAAAATAAAATTCATTCCATACCAATAGTGAGCAAAAATCCATTTTTCTGATTCACTTGGTCGATTTTCATTTTCAATGGTTAACATTCATTTCTGCCACATCTAGTTCAGTTAAATCAGTTGAATGAACTAGATGTGGCAGAAAAGAATGTCAACCATTTATAACTTATAATTATAAGTATAATACAGCTGAGACGATTCAAAATTGTCACCCAATAACGACATCAACGATTCAACGATTGCTTTTTTGTCTGTGTTACGTTTCTTTATTTGTATCATCATTTCGGCGGATAAGGGCCTTAAGGCAGTCTCTTTTTCGGCTCCTTCCAATTTGTATTTTTCAATTAACCTGTATGTAAAAAAAAAAAAATGAATTTAAATTTTAGTTTTGGGCACAGATCCACTGAAGCTTTTCCATTTGGCTAAATGTCGGTTGAATTTTTGGTAGTGAGTATTTTACAATATTCGACTTCTGCTTTGAATTTTTCTTTAAAAAAATTTAAAGTGTGTCATTTATGTTGATTTCATGAAAGATAATTAGCAATAAGCCAATATTGATACAAGATGGTCCGAGAATCAATGTGAGATTTCTCCCGAGATTTAAGAGAACACCGTCATAAAAAACAAAATCAACAACTGTTTTTAAGAGCAGTAAATCAGAGACTGTTTCTCCTTCAGTTCCTCATAGCTCTTCTCCTGACTTATATTCCTATGAGAAACTTGCATTCTAACCTCACTTATTTGTTTTTTACTCTCAGTATCTCATTTATCCTTTAATAATCCGCCAACAAGTTCCTCAATTTAACTTACATAACTTTGCACCGTTATTAACACTCAGTGATAGTAAATTTTAATGACATTGAGTGTTAATGACGGTGCAAAATCACTAAAATTCTTCGGATGCATTGATTTTAACATATTTATCTTTTTTTCCATTGATTCAAAAATTAATCAATTACAATCATTTCTATAGATATTATTCAATACAAACACGAACCGATATCTATTGTGACCACTCTGAAAACCTGACACCACATTTCATCATTATTTGTAGCTGTCAATGAACCACAAAAGTGGCGCGTTTCCACAAAAAATTTAATGTTTCAATACACCACATGTATGAATGAACCACTTTTGTGGTTATATTCAGTGGCCGCTAAAATTGGTAGCGTGGTGAAATTTAGTGAAAAGACCACTGGCGGGTTTTCAGAGCAATTGTGACGAGTGATGGATTCTCAAATATTGACTCAGACGTCAAATTTGATCGAAGATAATCCAGGGTATCGATTTCCATGTAGCGGTGCGTTGCTGTTGCATGAAAATCGAATTCCAAATAGCCAAGCATTAACAGCTCCGATCAATTTTGGCGAAAACGTTAGAATGGGTATAAATCCAAAGCGCTCCAATGCAAACGATTTTACTGAAATATAATTTTAAAAAAATTGATTGATTTTACATTGATGTAGTTCATCATTCTCTCTCTCTCTCTCATTCATTACTAACTTACATGATTTGAAGGTGGTTGAGAAATATTGAGCTTCACGTTTGTCATAAGTGTATTTTAAATATTTTTATTTTCTAATGAATAATTTTAAGAATGTGAGACAGTATGATTTCTGCATTGATTCTTATTGCAATTTTTTTGTTCATTTTCATTTATAAGATTTATGCACCATCAAGAAAATCATCAATTTCACCGTTGCGTCACCATTCGACAACGAAATGAAACATGTATGTTTCATGCTTACACTTGTGACAGTGACAGCTGTCGTTTGACATTTCGTTTCAACACCGTAAATACAATATCGATAATTGAGTTTATTTAGCCTTTCTTGGTGCGGCTAAATCTCGTTTTTTTTAGTTTCATTCAATAAATTCATAATGATGTTGAATGTTACACGGCAAATTTTTGGTATAAATCATCTAAATGTAAGTAGATTTTGGTCAATTTTGAATAAAATAAACGTGATTAGATAAATTGTAACACGGTTGTTAAGGTTAGGTATAACACACATTTCAATGTTTCCCTTTAGAAGCCCAATCTGTGTGCTTTAACACAAATACGATGCGCATATGTAAGAGGTAATAGGGACTATATAAAACGACCAAAACCAATTCCACATATTAAATTTGAAGCATCCGCACAATCGCTCAAAGCCAAAGGGTAATAAATTCTGATTGAAAAAATCACATAAAATACCTTTATCACTAACTTGACTGTCATTTTATTCAATCAGGTATTTGCGTCCTCAAGATCCATATACGCCACCGAAAAATGTACCGCAAATCGTTGATCAACTGAAAACCAATGCCAAATTGAAAACTGGATTTGGCGGCAAGAAATTTTCCATCGACGATAAATTTAATTTTTTACTCATTTGTGCAGAAGAATTTAATCGCACAGTGCCCAATTCGGTGTTACATGAAATGGAAACACTAAGTAATAGTTTAATCAGAGAAAAAAACCGTCAATTTTGGATTCATTTTTCTCATTTTTTTTTTAGATGATGTGATTGACTTTTATGAGACACCAGTGAACACAATTTTGCCATTGGATGAATTGACAACGCGTGAATTACCACCAAATCTACACATTGAACAGAAATACACACGCTTCAATCCAGAGACGGACAAAATGTTCAATGGAAAAACCGCTTTTCCACAAAGTTCAACTATTATTACAGGTATCAAATATCGGAAGAAATACCCTGGTTTTGTAGCCGAAAAGAAATTAGGCATCGACGAAGATCCTTAGTTATTTTGTGTGTACATAAGAAAAACTCCTTTATTTCAATGAAAAATAAAACAACAACAATATTATAATAAAATTAGACAGTTTAAATAACAAGAAACCGTACGGTTTATTTCGTTTAGTTTTTCATTCATTTTTTAAATACTGCGCATCGTCCATGTGTAAATAATTTATGATAATGATTTTTCTTTATATACTGAAAGCGCTACACCTATATATATATATTGATATTGCATTCGTTATCTTCTCCGCTCTTTCGCTCAATACATTGATTTATTGTTTCGTCGGAAACTTGAACACACCCTTTCTTGTGCTTTTATTTTCGGGCTGAAATGGAAATAAAGAAATTGAATGTATTATGTTTAGAAAAAGCATGAGAGGCTTTAGGTTTTATTAGAGAAATTTAAATACCGCATGTCGATTTCCAAATAGCATCTTGGCTTTGTCTTCTTCCTGTGGACTGGGCCGTTCTCCATCAACAGTCATCGAACGATTTCTATGTATCTGCAACTTTTGCTTTATAGCCTTTTTAAAGAAAAATTCAAACATTTCAAATTGAAATAAACTGAATGCCAGCCACTTTACAACATTACTTAAAATGAAATTACAATGTTGCAATCGTTACGATGCGTTGCGAAGAAGAAAAAAATAATTTACCTGCGATAAAATCACTCGTCGACTATCTGATTTCATGGCGAGCAGTAAATCGAGCCAAGTCCATGTAACATTATGATATTCCAGTGTTGGTATGACCAACGAGAAATCGGTGATATCTTTGAAATTTTTCTGTTTATTACCTAGGGCAGAATCACAAAAGAAAAGAATAGAATAAATTTAAAATAATCGACAAATAATCGAAATATAATATAGTGAAAATGAAAGTTGATAATTAATGAGTAATGAAACAGAATAAACAGACGGCATTGATTCCTTGTGTTGTTTTCTCCAGTGCTACTACTACCACCACTATCAAATCTCAAATTTCAGAAAATATTTTTGCTGTCGCGACAGTAAATACGTGTGGTCAAGCCTTACATTCTAATGATTCCCCAATCATCTCTCACTCACTCGTCCAGACACACAGTCTCTCTTTCTATCTTACATACATTCTGTTTCCTTCATTGTCGTTTGGCAATCTCATAGTATGCATATTAGAATTAATGTAAAAATCGAAAATAATCGAAAAAGAATCAATAACAATTATTAAATAATAGAAAGGCAAATTTTAAGTGAATTGCCCCTAGTTATTACCCTTGTAACTAACGCGAACGGGAACTTCCGGTATTTTAATATAAATAAAAAGTTTATTTTTCTCGGCACGTTCTTTCATCTTTTCAACATCGTCCTTTTCAATTTTCACATAAAATGCTGAATCCTTATTACTTTTCTTCGAGCGCATTGATTTTTTGCTTGCCTGCGATGCGCCCGATCTAACTGATGTCGTACTTCCGCTGATGGAAGCGGTGCCATCGTCCATTTCGTCCATTGTCTCTGTTTCGGATGTGTCACGATCGGGGAAGCAAAATTTCAACATGGTGCTATAGAATTTACGTGTTATTGCCAATGTAATTGGCACAACATTTATTTCGAAATGCTCTTTTACCGATATACCGCCGACCGGTGGTTTTTCACGGCAAAATATTCGCAACACTTTTTGATGATCGACCGGCATATCTTTTTGAATTTCGGTTGGACAAAGAACCTCTTTGTATGTTTCACGTGGTATCAAATTATTCATTCGAATATATCCCAATTCCAGTAAATGTTCAATGGAATCATCACTTTTGGTTACTTTTTTATACAAGAAATTGCTCAAAATCAAATCAGCAATACCAATTTGACCGTCGGCTTCGGTGAGACGCCACTGCGCATGTTTGAAACAAATTTCATTCGTTCGAACAATTGTAATTGGTTTATTCTTTCTGATCGTCGCCAATTTATTCATTGCTGACAATTGCGTTTCTTTGTAACACGAGAACATCATGTCCAATTCTTCGCTTTGTGCATTCAATTTTTCTTTGCATTCTTGGATTTGTTTCTGAAAAAAACGAAAAAATGATTGTCAATTGAAATGATAAAAAAAAAAAATCAAAAAATGTGTTTCAACTTACTTGAACCTCTTCATATTCATGTTTAAGCTCATCACTGTCACCTTCTTCGGCTCTGGCTCTGCCAATCAAATGTATATCCTTTTCAAGTGTTCTCATTTTTGACATTAAATTTCGAATTTGTGTTTGCAACTGTTGAATGGGACGCTTTTGATCATCGCTACTGTACAATTGCAATTGGAATCGCATTCGAACTAATTTCTCCAGCGCTTGTTTACGCTGTGGCTCAACGTACAACATTAAATTATTCACAATATCCAAAATCATAGCGTATTGCAATGAATTTGTGCAAACATCAAGATCGTGATGCATCAATGTGAATGCATCAACCGGATCATCTTGTCGTTCCCACGGGCTGAGTGTTTCTTCGGGCGGTGGTTGTGGTACTTCCGTCAATGTACCCGGATCAATTGTATCGCCGTAGCTGACATAAAAAAATTCACATTTACAACGTGATACAATTCGTTGCAATTGAATTGGATGCGGTTCACCAATGCCGGAATTTCCGGCCGCACCAACAGTTTCCGAAACAACACCACCAACACTTTGACCACTGCCCACTAAATGCGGTATATCGGGTAAATCATTTATGACCGTTGCATCTTTATCTTTTTCTTCAATATTGTCCAATGTTAACCACATGATATTTTCATCGAGCAACGAATCATTTTCGCCCGGACTAACAGTGGCATAGTATTGCATACATTCCAAAAATCCAACCCAAGTTGTTTTCGATACCAAACTTCGGTCACGCCAAACAGGACGATGAACACGTTGCAAAATTTCCGCTTTGGCCGCACTCATTATCACATAGCCCGACGTTTCACAGCCTTTTAGCAATACTTGTGAATTTACCAACGAAATAAACCAATTACATTGGGTGACATCTTCGTCTTGACATGCACGCAAACCTTCCAGTTGTTGTTCCCGTGTTTGTGTCGATAGATCATCACTGTACACATTAAATTTGTGATCAGCTTCGGCAATCAATTGCTGAAGCATTGTTGATGCATGTGTTGTTTTCAAATGGATTTGTGACGTGTTCCCTGACGATGAGCTTAAAATCTGTTGAGTGGACGATGTTGATGGGGTTGATGTTGATGTGGTGGCACTCATTGAATTTGATCTCGATTTCATCGGTGTATTTGTATTGTCTTTTCGAAAACCTTGTAACGCTTCGGTCGACAAATTATACTTTAACTTTTGTGACTTCATAAATGAATCGAACAACGCAAATGCAACATCACGATTATTTTTTGTCCATGCACCTTTTAAATCGTACACCACCAACTTATGAATGGGTGTATCTTTTTGTTTTGGCTCCGCATTGCCGGATTGAATTAATGCCTCACGTCCGTACGACACTTTGGCCAAACTCAAAAAGTAAAATTTCACAATTTTCAAACCATCCAAATTGGATATATTCTCAGTGCTCACATCGATTTTATCATTTAAAATGCTTTTCAACCAAATTTCCGTGTCGTTCAATTCACAATTCATGTACATGGTGGCCCATTCAGCGCGCGGACGATGCGTTAAACCATCATCAGTTGGATACAAAGTCAATTGATGCTCGGAACTAAACGAAACACGGCCGCCATTCAACTCAAAACCACGATGCAATGCATGCGACATCCAGTAAACAACTTGGAACTTATGCAGACTCATTTGTAAGTGTGCCTTTTTATAATGACGGCTCAATTGTTTCTTTCGCGGTCGAACATTATTGAAAACGGGTCCACGGCGCGTTGGTCTCGTTACGCCGGATAAAATCAATTTTAAACTTTCAAACCAACGCAATGTACTGCCATAAAGCACCAAATTCGGTAGATCGACTTCATTTTGTTGATTTTGTGGCGGTTTTGTTTCGAATGAAACCCATATATTTAGGTTTTGCGATCGAAATGCTCGGAACGAATCGTGGATTTGATTACTTGAGTATTCGGGCAATTTATCGGGTGCACATGGTATCACAACGTGATGATCATTCGGATTTCCCAAGCACACCCAATTCAATTTAAACGTTAACTTTAGATTTGGAAAATGCAACAAACGACAATCATCATAACGCGATGCTGTTCGAACACACACCTGAAATGAAAATCAACGCTCAGAAAAAAGGAATGCGAAATATGAAAAGAGATTTCTTACATTCAATTCACCCTTGAATATTGCTTTGGCATTGGTCCAAATGATTCCGCAATTGTTCCATGTTAATTCCATTTCTTCCGTTGTATTGTATGGATCAAGTGATGCGTGCAACAAAACGGTAAATTGTTTTGCAATGATTGTCAATCGTCCATGGTAGAGCAGTCGCATTTTATCCCAGAATGGAAGCGTTGGACTTGGATCACGCGACGGTGCTAGGATCTTTTCGAAACTTAAATTGCACTGTGCCATTACCTAAAAGTACAAAAAAAAATATATTAAAAATTGTGCTTAAGGATCGTGGCTTCGATGGTGTAATTACCGGCTCCCAACATGGACCAAATGCATAACTGCACAGATCCCAATCACAGTCAAAGTCATGGTAGAATTTCAATGGTAATAAACTCCTCTGTATTGTATGTGTTCCAAATGGTGCGCCAATCACAATTTCAACATCTCGTTTGGCTCGGGGTGGTGCCGATTGTTCTGCGCCACATAAATGACCAAATAAATGCATATTTTTCACATAAAACATTGGTTGTGGGAAATCTCTGAAATGACAATGTCAAAATGTTGAAATGAAATTCTCATTTTTCAATCAAATGATGTACATATATTAGCCGTAATGTTTACTAACGAAGCTCATGAAATAATATTTTTTCATTAGTACATAAATCTCTTTGGCAAAAACAAAATCGTGAGCAAAAATCAAATACCTTAACAAAAACTTCCATTCGGTGCAGCTAAAATTGATGGCACGACACCAGAGTGTAACAAAATCCAGTCCATCTTCTGGCCATGGACTGTCCGCATCAATTTCCTTCATCATTTTAAGAACATTGGGCGGTCCGTGCAGCGATGGATCGGCCATAATCATAAACTCAACATCGGTAAGTGTCCATGCGAATAGTCGTGTCCTTGTTGGACCAGCCTCTTTAATTTTCTTCGATCGTTGAATATAAATTTCGGAACTTTTCTTCACCAAACTGGCATGCAGTTCGGCCAGTGTTTCATTGGGTAAAAGTAAGCGATCGGCAACAATTTGTTGAATTTTCTGTTCAAACAATTGCTGTCGCTTGATACTTTCATGATATTCATCTACCAAGAGTACATAATTATCACGAAGTTTTACCTCAAACGGATCGTCGCTCATTTCCAATAAAAACTCTTTAATTTGAATCACCATATCGCTGGGCAACGGTGTATCGTCTGTAAATTGTTTTCGTTGAATGCCATGCAATCCCTTAAGCCATTTCACAAGTGAATTGAATTCATTTTGAAAAGCGTCCGCAAAATCATGGTCATATGGAAATATAATTTTAAAACTGCCCAACGTTGTGACCCACACTTTATTGACGGGGCACACAAAGTGCTCATAGTTTGCACGTTCAACGCGCATAAATTCCAATGATGTGGCCGAATGCATGGATGCATCGGTGATGGTAAAAATGTGCGCATCATCAATATTGATGAATGATTTTTCAATTGATACCATGGTCTGTTCTTTGGTCGATAAAAATAGATTTTCAAAAAATATCTGCATCGAATGCCGTTCCGATAATTTGATGCCAATTTCTAAATTACTCTCGGCATAAATTTCAAAAACAGTTTTTGATAGGCCATTCGATGTTTTTTCATCGTCACACGAATTCGTTGACTCCGGTACGATGGCATTGAATTTATCCGGTATAAAGTCACGCAAAAATTGTTGTACATCTTGAAATAGTGTTAAACATTGCATATGCAAATTTGAATTCCACATAATAACCGCATCATTTACAATATGAATATTAAATTGATTGAGTGTGGGTAGTTTTGGTCGAAATTTCATCAAATATTCCACACGAATTAATTTCATATTCGTAAACAGTTCGGTAAAATCACTAAGATTAAACATTGTATTATTTTCTTGTCCAACCATATTTTTTACCGCCAAATGCAGTTCGTCAATTTTAAAAACGGTAATTTGTTGGGTGCGCGCCAATGACATCTCCGACAAACTTATCAAAATGCATGCGTCATGATTGGTGAATAAAAATGATGTGACATCGGTAATTTTTGTATTTATAAGTATTTTTGGCATTATTTTATTGCTAATGTCGTTTGATGATTGCTCAAAGCATTCGCTCATTTCAGGTAACTCAAATATTCGCCGTCGCCCAGTTCGAAAACCATATTGACCCAGACAGTCTTTCAGACGAATCAATAGATCGGTCAAATCGGAACTGTACTCCAAACGTAATGTATGCATCGTTAATTCCAATTTTATCGCATTGCCATAACTGTTCAATTTCACTAAACTGACACCAACATAAATGGGACTGCCACGTGTGTGAATTTTTCGTAACGAATCGTCTCTCGTTGCATTATCCAGCGAACACCAAAATGATTCGACTAACAATTCCGTGCTCCAGTGTCGATTGCCCAATAACATTTTTAGCCATTTATTTTCGTACGCGGTATTTCGTTTGCTATCGAATTGATCCAGTAACACTTTTGTATGACTCACACTCAACGATGATACCCGATTATTCACTTTGGTTAGTATCGAAAAATTAAACACTTCGGCACAACATTTTATGATGATTTGACTCATTAACCATTCGAAATCACGTTCGGGCGTGCCACCAAATGAAAAACGACGCTTTTCAAGCGATTTTGGATTTGGCAAAATCAACGACAACGGCTTCGCTTGAATGGATGGACTTGATGAAAATATATTATTGTTCACCCATTTATAAATCTCTTCGTGATTATACACGAATTGAAATGATTTTATCTTGAAAAATGTATTTAATACTCTGTGCTCCAACTGAAATTGAGAGTCATTAGCGGTTTAAATGTGATTTTCAATTTATTATTGAAACTTACTTTTGTATCAATTGTGAACAATTCAATGAATAGCAATTTTTCCTGTTGTGTATCAATTTCGAACTTCTCCAACTGTACGTTTGCATGCATGAATGGCAATCGAAGTGTATTTTCCTCGGTATTCGTGGCAAATTTTCCATTCACCTAAAAAAATAATAATAATAATATCGAATATAAAACTTGTCGAATTAAATTCAAGTCACAGTTAAACGTACCGAAAACGAATCAAGTTTGGCCGTAAAATCTTCGGTTGCATCATCTCTGATAGCTGAGAATGCTGCATTGTCCACTTTCACTGTAAAATTCTGGAAAAAAATCGATGTTTATTCAGTTCGTATTTTTATAGTTTTCAATATTCGAACCTTCGGTATAATCGGTGAAATTCTTTGGCACAATTCATCAATATCCAGTGAATGTGGTGATTTGATTGTTTTCTTTTCGACTATCGGCAATTGATTTGTATCACGAATAAAATCATAGAAACCATCATGTATGTAAGTTTTCGTCTGCTTGATAACCAATTGCATTTTTTCAACGGCAAGTGGCCCGGTTGCGGCCAATACGCCATCGAGTGAAAGGCCAAAGCTTAATTCAGCCAAACATGGTTTCGATTTATGTTTTTCGTACATGGTCGAATCGTAGTGTCGGAAAAATTTGAACTGAAAATAACAACAAAAAATATGAAAATTTCCTGTAAATTAAGTTAAATTGTAAACACATACCCTGGCATCACTCAATGCAGCCGTCACCACTAATGTTTTCAAGCTATGCAATGTGCTTCCATCCAAATGTAAATCGCCAGTAGTCGCATGAAGAAACCAACTTGGATTGAATGTGTTGTTCATCATAACAACGGAAATATTGTGCACATTCACTGACATAAACTGAATATGAAGAATGAAATCCAATTAAATAATATCGAAACATAGCCGTCAAAAAGGACCGCTTACCTGCGCAAATTTAAGAATACTGGGTGGCACTTTTGTATTACGAAAATCGCATACGTTCAAATTTGGATCGATAGAATCGTCTTCGGTGGTTCGATCTGCATTCGAATCGGTGGCAGCTGCTTCATTGATGTCCTTGTTGATGCGAATATCACGAATGGTAATCGATAGCAATTTACTGACTTCGGAATTAAAGAAACTGCTGCGAACCGTAATTTCATCAATATGCTATGTAAAAAAAATAACATTGTTAACGAATTTCACAAATAAATGATATTTCTCACGCAAACACACTCACAATTGAAAATCCATTTTTGATTATTTTCACAGCTCGTAATGTGAATGGCAAGCTAACACGCCCGAATTTAATTTGCGTATTGAATCGCTGAATGAAAAGGTATCCAATTATCTTTGGAATCAACCTATTTTTTATTTTGATTGAAAGAACAAAAAATTCATTGAATGATTTGACACAATTTTTTTCTAGTTACGCATAACAAAACATACCATGTTATGAAGTAGTAAATTGTGATGCCGATTATTGCCAACAAGATCGCCGTATTCATCTTCGAATGATGGAATTTTCGTTTGTTACTTGTTTTAACTTAATTATTTTCATCGACTTTGGATCAAATCATTGTTGGAACGAGATTTGTTGTCGCTTGTTTAGTAGATTTTTTTATGTGCAAAAAATATAGACTCATCTATGCACCAACATATGTTGTGTCTAAATAAACAATACTATGTTACTGTCAAAAATTGTCAAATGTGATCTAATCGACGTAGCCATGAATATGACAAATAGTATTGTGACGTTTACACATACGTACACAAAACGTCATCGGCATATGTATGTATGTTATTGGTGCAACATCGTAAACACTAATACCATTGTCACAATGTCAAAAAATACGAATGATGTCACAATCATTACAGTTAAATTTAAAACAATTGCTTCACCATTTGTTTTGAATTTTATATGACCTTTTTGTACTTTCCATATCCGGGAGATCATACTCAAAAATCGCCATTTTTAAACGGTTTATTTTTATCGTTTGATTCGTGAGATTTTCTCCATATTTAAATGAAAATTCTTTCGACTAAGCAACTGATAAATAAGCCTTCTTAAGGAACGTAATAGAAAATATGAATGATTGCCTCTAAAATTACGAGCCACACTGCCAACTATGAGCTTATTCACTGAAAATGTGTGTATTGTTCGATTTTAAAGTAATATTGCCGGTAAACTACGTCATCAAATGTTGTGCAGCAGATAGGTAGTGCATATACAGTAGAACTTCGAAAAATTTAAATGAAATTTTTCTCTCCCATAAAAAAACAGTAAATTGCTTTGAACAGGAAATGTTTACTAACTTTTTTGAACGCGCGAACTCTATTTACAGGCCTACAGCTAAAGACTTTCGCAATTTTTACAACATTCAAGTAAAGGTCCAGTAAGAGGTCGGACTGCGTCTATTCAAATTAAAAGACAGTTTTTTTTAATTTGCTAGTGTTTTTTGAGAAATGTTTAAAAAAAAGTTACTTTTTTACAATACGGCCGTTTTCATCGCATTGATAGTTATGGAAATTAAGTTATTATAAAATCTTTTTTTTATTTTTTTTTTCCCAAATATTTTTGTCGATTTTGAATATTTCGATTGACTTTTCTACTGTATATAGATAGAATATGAGTTTCTACTGTACATACAATTAGATCGATGCTCAAAATCGATTGATTGCTAATCAGTTTGGCATAGGTAAAACAATTTAAAATCAAACTACGGAAGTTTAAAAATAAACTCTGAATGTCAATGTCGGTGTAATTTTAAATCATTTAAATGCATTCGAAAATATAAACACCGTTCAGAGCTAGTTGATTGGGTCGATGAAACGGATTTAAGTTTTTCTATTGTTTTTCCATTTAAGTGAAACAATTTAAAAAAGTTATCTTCAAATAATGGGTGTTCTTGGTTTAAAATCGTTTTTGGAGCGTGAAAAACAAACGCGTACAATTAATATTGTGAATGAGATTAACAAGTGGATAAGGTAGAATATATTGAAATTTTCTCATCATCATCATTATGTCATTGATATTTTCTTCTTCGTTGATTTCACAGTGAACACGGTACAGCGCCGTCAATTATAATTGATTTAAATAATTTAATCATAAGTCATTCAAAATTGGAGTACGATACGTTGTGTGGCGGTCGAAACAGAAGTGCATTGGAATCATTTGAGAAATTTTTAAAAGTATTGAGCGCAATCGAAAATATATCATTAATATTCTTCTGTGGATTGACAATACAAAAGGATAAAGTGGCGGAATGGTTGAGTCGACGCAATCAAGAGTTCAATTCCTATACATCTTTATATTATCTAATTAACGATGGAAAAAACATTGATGCCGCTATTGCTGATAATAAATTATTAAATTCAACATTGTTGGGCATGGAAACGATTGCAAAGAAATATGGTGATTTTCATTACACAGTGAAGGTTGAATGTGATTTAGAAATTGCAAAATATGCAAAAAACAATGATGTAATGGCTGTTATTTCAAACAATATGGATTTTCTGTTGTTTGATGGTTTGTGGAGACTTTGGTCATCGGATGATATTCGAATAACGGCTGCAAATCAATTGAAAACCACTGAATATGAGCGAAATATTGCACAGATTTGTAAATTGAAATCGTATCAATTGCCATTATTTGGAACACTGTTGGGCAACGATTTTACAATGAAATTTTACGATAACTTGGTTGATTTTCACAATAGTTTAGGGCCAATAATGTATAAAATTCGATGTGTTGCACGCTATGTACGTAATGTTGGTAATGTTGAACTCTGTGACGACGATATCGAAGAAATCTCAATGAAAGTTTTTGGCAATGCCGATTGTAATAAAAAACAGCTGATACGAACAAGTGTGAATTCATATAATGTTGATGTTTCACCAACAACCGACGATGATCCTCTCGAAAAAAAACTGTTTCATACCGACATGTATCGATCGTATGCAGTGAATATGAGCACGATTCAGGGAATCAATTTACCATTTTATGATATGCGCGGCTGTAGGCACGATGCAAATTTAACAACAATACTCGCCGACTGGATGAAGCGGAGAATTGGCATTTTAAGACAACACAATCAAAATAATTCATTTACATTCACACTATTGGCCATGATGGATGCTGAAGAAGAATTCGAAGCACATTTTGCAAAACCAATTTATCCTGATTGTAAGCTTAACTCCTTTTGACGATGAACCAATTATGAAAATAATGTTTTTTTTGCAGTTCCCGTTCCAGCATTAGATACATTTTATATTGAAAATGAAATCACCGAAATCAATTGGAAAATGCTTGGATGGATTATGTCGTTATCTGATACAGAATTAGCATTGATTAGAAAATTACCTAAAGATTTTCTCGTGATCAGTTCGACTCTTTACATTTTAGTGAAGGTATATACGTATATACTTTATTAAAAATTATGAAGATTCTTTATAAACGACACTCACTTTGATGAACATTTTCATTTTTTTTTTTGGTTTTTCATAATAGAAAGGGCTAATTGGTGCAGAAGAAGCTGATGGAATTTTATACACGGAGAAAATAGTTCGAAATAGTGAAACAATTGATATGAAGTATCCAACTGGTTTCGAATCTAAATGTGTTCGAGCAGCTCACATCTATAATATTACCTATTCACATGTGCAAGAAAATTTTGCCATTGCTGGTCTTTTATCATTAGTTCAGGTAAATTGTGCTATTGTTTTATGAATACAGTGTGTTAATATGTATTTTTCATATGTAGGATTCAATTTTACAATTTGACGGTGTTTATTATCAAAAGTTAATGGAAGACTTTGCAAAGATTAATCCAACTGAACGTAGTAATGCCATCAAAGACTATAGGATATATGCTTAAAATAAAACGAGTGATCTTTTTTGTATTATATGCTTTGAAGTAAAATGAGAAAAATTGCACGGAAAATTGGATTAAAAAAATTGAATTCTGTTCATTGTTCTCTCATCAGTCTCATAATTATTATGTCATTTTTTTAGAGAAAGTTGTTGATCACTTTTATCACTTTTACGTTTGAATAAATTTCAAAGTTTAAATTTGAAAAGTTCTAGATAAGTGTTGATAATTTGTCAAGTGATGAACAGGATCTTTTTATTCAATCATCGTAATTATACAAAATTATTTTTATTGAAATTTATTCTAAATGAATAAAATGACGGCGGCAACTCGTTGCTGGTTTGGCATTCAGTTGCTTCGGTTACCGTTTATCAATGTGGCACTGAAGTACCGTCCCGGAAGTACAACTGTAATTAATGCAAATGAATAAAATCAAATAATTAGACTTCACTTCGAATTGTGAAATGAATTTTTAGACATTGTTCAGGTTTGTGGAAGAAACAATACGAAACTTTTTTTCTCTCTAAATATCAGAGTATCATGATTTGCTACTGCTCAGTATATAGCTGAGAGCTGAGAAATGCTGAACTCGTGCGGCTAACGCATACGAAACGGATGCACGCACACAAGCATTCTCCCCGTTTAAACGGTTATAAAAAGTTGATTGGATGTTCAATTCAAAACTCAAAACTTAGTAACCAGTTGAGTTTGAAATTGTGTTGCGACCGACTTATGAGAAGCTGCGAGAAAAACATCACATCTCATCCCTCGTTATTTTGCTTAAGTAAGTGAAAGCAAGAGATGAGATGCAACGTGCTGTTTTTGCTCTCAGTCTTTCATATATTCTGAAAGTGTACGTCTAACGCATACGAAACGGATGCACGATACATATTCCCCTTTCACTTCGTATGTTCGCTGGTATAGTGTGTTACAGTTGTACCAGCAATAGCGTCAACGGTAGCACATACGAAGCGAAAGGGGAATATGTATCGTGCATCCGTTTCGTATGCGTTAGCCGCACGAGTTCAGCATTTCTCAGCTCTCAGCTATATGCTGAGCAGCAGTAAATCATGATACTCTGCTAAATATATCAAAGATGAAAATGAATCTTGACTTACATCACGGCCAGAAAGCGGATAATTATAAGCGCCACATCCGTAACCATTTGGTTTGCATCGAACTTGTTGGCGTGGTTGTGTGTTTATGACGTCGTACCTATAACCACAATGGCATTGGTAATATGCGTGCCAACGATCTAGTGACATGGTGTTTGCTCTTTTCGTTTAATAAAACAGCTGAACAGGAACAGGAAGTCGAATGATTCGATTTGAAAGTTACTGGTTTGTTGTCAGAACTGTGACTAATTTGACACTGCCCAAAAGTGGGCCTTTTATACACAAAAATCAGTTTTGAAAATTGCAAACGTTTGAATTTCAAAATGAATGGATTGAATAAAGCAATGTAGACAGAAGTTTAGGAAGTCTTTTATTATTATTGAAAGTGATAAACATACTGTTTATAAAATATACTTTGCCAATTTATGTTTATTGATCGGCTAGACGACTATTTTGCTCAAAAATCAGTAGCTCAGCAGAAATAAATCGAGAATAATTCCGCGGTTGATTGATTTATGTATACATTTCGAAAGAAAATAACCTGCTGTAATTTGAGTCAATTCAAAACAGTCTGAAGCGATTTTGTTCGAAAACATTTCAAGTAATTAAATTGGCCATTTGATAAAAATAACGAACGCATGTACTTACTCGCATTGAGTTTTTCAACCATATTAATAACAAATACTTGGAACATACTCTTCAGAAGATTTTATAAACAAAAATGACTGAAATAAATAAGTATTAGCTTACAGCCAATGAACTAATATGATGAGTAATTTGATGTTTTGATAAAACGAAATATGATAAAATCATAACTGGAAAAATAAAATATCAATCGATTTCATTCGAAAAGAGAACATTTTTCGCTATATTTACTCTCGAATAAAGCAGTTGATTATGCATAAAACTGATAGCCATATGAGTATCAAACACAAACATCATCATATTTGTTTAAATAAAAGCTACCGCAATAGTAACAATAACAAACTATCATGTCTGTCTAGTATCTGTTTCTATTCAAAAATCTTTTCCATCTATGTTGTGTCAATACCACACACACATTTTATTCAAATAGACTTTGCTAAGCAAATAAAGTATGAACCTAATTTTCCGTTTTTCTGTTACATTTTCAAACTAGTTTTGAATATTTAGAGACTGATAAGCCATTAAGATGACTGAAAGCTTTTAAAGGTTTTGAAACCAAATCATAAATTCGAAGCATTTAATCAGTCGTTCGATATCGTTGGTTAGATATACTGTTTCTTTTGTAGTTTTGCACATGAAGAAAGGAATTTTAGAATGAATGAAAAAATTCTATTTATATTTATAACCGGAATTGGTATTGGATTCATTTTAAATATTTTATTCACCGAAAAACCGATTGCAACGAATGGTGTACTTCAATTAAAAAATGCAATAAATGAGTCAAATACGATAACAACTGTGAAAAAAATTCGAATTTTGTGTTTTTTGGCCACGATGCCTGAGAGTCATTCAAGAAAGGCCATTCACATACAAAACACATGGGGCAAACACTGTGATAAACTCTTATTTGCAAGTACCATAGCGGATGAGAATTTAGATGCTCTGGCTTTCAATGTGACCGAATCACATGCTCTTTGGGCGAAAGTAAAAGTGATGTTTCAACATATTTATAGGAATTATTTGAATGAATATGACTGGTTTTACAAAGGAGACGACGATTCATTTATGATACCAGAAAATTTGAAATTTTTACTCGCCTCTTATTCTCCAGACGATCCCATCTATTTCGGGTAAGCATCAATACCTTTTACAGACTCGTACAGATGAATAATGATCGATGTTCATGATTTAAGGTACAAATACAATACAAGCGATCATAAATGGGGATATTTCAGTGGTGGATCGGGCTATGTTCTTAGTCGCAAAGATGTTCGAATTTTCGTTGAACAATTGCTAACAAATAAATCGCTGTGTCCAATTGACGAGGAAAATGTGGCTGAAGACTGGACTATTTCCGAATGTTTGGACAATGGAAATGTTTATGCGGGCGACAGTCGTGATTTACTAAGAAGAGAACGATTTTTCCCATTCCAACCAAGTCAACATCTGTTCCCTTATAGGGGAAAATATTGGTATTGGGAACGTAAATATTATAATAATGATGATGGTTTGGATTGTTGTTCAAACTACACAATTGCCTTTCATTACATTCCAGCAAAATATATGTATCATTTATATTATCTAACGTATATTCATAGAGTATTTGGTACAAAACATCATTTTCCACCGCTTCAAAAGAAGCGTAATTTTCAACAAGTTGTTGAAATATTGAATTTGGAGCGCTTTAACAGCTCATATAGGGGATATAAATGAAAGAAAATATCTCAATTATTCGATTGATTATTTCTATTTAATACAAGAAACTTATTTTAGTTAATCAAACATCTCTCACAAGCCAACTTTAAGTAAAAACAATTGTGTGTCATAAACAAAGAAAATGTTCGGTTATGTTGACAAATAAAGCCAATGTGTTTTGAACTTCATATATTCACTAGGCTATTAATGATATCAAATATGGGTTTTCTTCAAGCGAACAGTAGACACTTTGCTTTGGCAGAACTAAATAATACAAAAAATATGATTGGATATTGTCATAAATTGTAGTTTTGATTGTAATTGATCTACTTCATTAAACTTTACTTTATTTTTACATTCAAGAAAAAATGTCGAATATTTATTTTGGTCCGATTTTCATTTTTTTTGGTCCGTTTTTGTTTTTATCCAATATTAAATTGTTCAACGTTCTAGGTACGTAATGAACAATATTTCAAGTACTTGGAATACACATAGAGTCTATGATCAAGATCAATTTATTAAACTGAAAGACATAATACAGCCCAAATCATAAAAGTAACAATAACAAATATTCTAAAAAAATACAATTTATTTGGAAGAAATGATTATCCCAATGGGAATTAAACTAAAAAAAATAAAATTGTCATTGATGTACAATTGTACATAGCATAAAGAATGAAAAATGAAATGATCGGAAATGAAATATAAATTGGACTTATTTCTAAAGATCGTTTTATGTTATTTACCAACGCAAATCAATAATATATTTAAAAAGACAACAACATCTTAACAGAAAATATTCAAAGCTATCACCTATTTCAGATAAAATTTCATTTCAGGTAAAATAGTTTCGTCTCATATAATAAAAATTAATCTATTAGAACAATGTCAATTCGAATGCAATAAAGTAAACATAACGTTTCATTTATATTCATTTGACATTCTTTTGACATTTTTGGTTCATCTCATGTTTACATTTGACATCTGTCAAAATTAGTTTTGAAACGCGTGTTAATCTTCGGCTCGTCAACAAAAAGTCAATTTCTGGTAAAAAACTTGAATGCCAGGTGAAAAATCGTTTTAAATCAATTTAATCAAAATGGATGAAAATTTAACAATATTTGTGAATCGACGAAAAAAACTCACAACAAGAGAAGAGTTAGAGAAATGTTCCAAAGAGGTTAGAATTACAAATAATCTGATCGAATCGGTTTTCATATGAATTATGTTTCATTTTGTTTGTAGGAGTTGATCAATCGAATTTTACAATTGGAAACGCACAATCAGCAGCTGAAAAATGTATTGAAAAAGGAATTGAACTGCGGGGATGACGAATCAAAAATTACCAAGCAAAAAAAGTTTGATTTTTCAAAGTAAGCGCTTGAAACAAACATAGTGCAGACGTGTAAATAAAACAAAATTAAATTTGATTTTCAGTCGTAACACACGTCATGTTCTCTTGAAACTGTATTACTTGGGATGGGATTATCAGGGGTTTGCTACACAAGAAGAGTCAATCAAAACAATAGAACATCATTTATTTGCGGCATTGAAGCGAACATGTTTAATCGAAAGCCGAGAAACATCAAATTACCATCGATGCGGCCGAACTGACAAAGGTGTCAGTGCATTTTCACAAGTAAATCAAATTCATTTTCCATTCTGTTCCATTACTTACTTGATTAATTTCCAATGTTTCCATTCTTTTCTTCTGATCATCCGTAGGTAATATCAATTGATTTGAGAAGTAAATACCCTGACGAAGACCAAATGACCGAAGACTCAATAAAGAATGAGATTCGTTATTGTGACTCTTTAAATCGCGTGCTTCCGCAAGATATTCGGGTCGTAGCGTGGCAACCATTGTACAATCGTGAATTTAGCTCGCGTTTCGACTGTCGCGAACGTGTCTATCGATACTTCTTTCCGCGAAGTAATTTGAACATTGAAGCAATGCGTAAAGCATGTACGTATTTAATAGGCATTCATGACTTTCGAAATTTGTGTAAAATGGACGTTGCTAATGGTGTGGTCACTTTTGAACGTGAGCTTAGAGACGTACGGGTCGTAGAAGCTTCACGAAAGACACACGATAATAGCAGTCCGTATGATATGCATTATGTTGAATTGATCGGAAAAGCATTTTTGTGGCATCAAGTACGAGCGATAATGGCCATTCTTTTACTCGTCGGACAAGAAGATGAAAAGCCTGAAATTGTCCAGGAGCTATTGGACATTGAACGAAATCCATGCACACCACAGTACAGTTTGGCTGCCGATTTTGCACTCAATTTATTCGACGTTGATATGGAGGAATATTCAAAATGTACGGTACCAACCGGTCCATTAGTGACCGAGACTAAACAATGGATTTATGACAGCCATACATTGGGCAAAGTCATTGGCATTTTACAGGGACAATGGACACAACTTAGTGTTAAGTGAGTTCGCATTTAAAGTCTAGTTTGACACCGTTTTCTGTCCCGAACATTTCCTGAAACAATTTTTCCCAAATGAATGGGGAAGCGTTCCGGCATTCGATTTTTTTGGCATTTAAGTCACTTCAATTTTTTTTTTTTATTTTGACTTATTATAAATTGATAACTTTATGTTTTTCTCATAAAAATAGGAGCCATATGATCATAGAGATGCTGAATGTTCTGGAAGACATTTACGAAAATAAATTGGGTGCAAATCACATCTATAAGTATTGCGATGCACTCCAAGAAGGCGTTAGATCGAAAAAGTATAAGCCACTACTCACACGGAACAAATGCAGTAAGTTTCAATCACTTTCGCTTTGAATTCTTCGTTTTAAACATTTGAAATGCTAACTGCTACATTTCTAACATTCATTGCAACAGGTAGTTTAGAGAATCGAATACAGCATTACTCGAAGAAACGAAGAATCGATTTGATCAACACAGATGAAGCGAACCAACGAAAACAAGACCTATCTAATCCAAAACAAACAAATGATGAAAAAATGACAACCTATTGACAAATTCAGCAAAAATAAAACACAAAATAAACGAAACATTCTCAAAATTTGTCTTTTGTTATTATTCCGTTGAAAAGTTCAATGAATTCCGATGTGAAATGATGTCAAATGTCATATCAACATTAGACATATCATGTCAATGTTTTTAAATGAACATAACCTCACAACGAAATATTGAAACTATTTTTTTCCCCAAACAGAATGTGTTTACGGGATTTAAGTTTTTCTTTATAAAAAAATATGATGCTATCAAAATTTTCCCGCGCTGTATTAAATTCTTCATATCGTCTGAATCCAGTGTTTGCATGCAAAAATACAAATTCAATAATTCGATGTAGAAATGTTCGGGTGCCGGAACGTAGTTTTTATTTAAATACCCATGACCTGCAGAAAATTCTACCAAAGTCAAATGTTAAATCAAAATCATCAAAAGATGTTTCAGCCCAATCGATTGGATATTATTCAATGGCTGTTGTTGTGCTATGTGCTGGCCTCACATTTGCAGCGGTGCCATTGTATCGTTTATTTTGTCAGGTATGCATAAGGCGATAAGTGAATTTCAGCACCATTTTAAAACGATTAGTTTAGGCGACAGGTTATGGTGGAACGGTGGTCGAAGGTCATGACACCACCAAAGTGGAGAACATGAAAAGAGTCGGAAATCGGGTACTAACAATTCAATTCAATGCTGATACAGCCGCTTCCATGCGATGGAACTTTAAACCTCAACAATATGAAATTAAGGTATGCAATCTTTACCATAAATGATCACAAATTTAAATGAAGACTTTGATGTTTTTGTTTAGGTTGTTCCGGGTGAGACAGCGCTGGCATTTTATACAGCAAAAAATCCAATGGATGTTCCTGTAATTGGTGTTAGCACATACAATGTGATTCCATTCGAAGCTGGTCAATATTTCAATAAAATTCAATGTTTTTGCTTCGAAGCACAACAACTAAATCCACATGAAGAAGTAAGCATTTAATTAACTGTTTTTACGAATTTTACTCATCGATCTGCATTTGTAGGTTGATATGCCGGTATTCTTTTACATCGATCCGGAATTTGACGAGGACCCAAAAATGGAATTTGTCGACACAATCGTATTATCGTACACATTTTTTGAATCGAAAGACGGTCTTAATATACCAGTACCCAGTTATGCTCGGACGCATTAGTTTATTGTTATTCAAATTGGAAATTTATACAAAAGTGGAGTTATAGTGGAACAATATGATTAAAAAAAATCTAGTTCAAAAAAGACGAAATAAAGGTTTCAATTTTGATTAGATTTTATTGATTCTGGGTATTTCCTGGACGTGAAAGACCCGATCGAAATTCCTCAGGTTTTTTGTCAGCAAATTGATTGATACCCATCGAATAGGTAACTTCATTTCGATCAAATTTTTCGTTGTGTTCAATTATTCGTTTTACATTTGCACGGAATATTTCGTTACGTTTAGCATCTTCCTCTGCATCATAATTTCTATTATACTCCTTCTACAAATGAAACATAAAAAAGGTAAAATGAAATGAGTAATTCATTCTTAAATATGCAACGTGCAACAAAACAACAAAAACACACCCACCTTGTACAATGTCCAAAGTTCATCAACATTTGAAGAGGCTGATAGATTTTCCAGTGGTGATGATGCTGAAAATATGTTTAAAAAAAATAGTAGAATATATTAGAATCGTTTGCCATGTTCTACTTTCAATATTTTATTTATTGCGATGTTCTCGTTTCAATGTGTCGTGATTCATATTTTGTTTACTGATGAGTCATTTTGTTTGCCTATTTAATTCAAGGTGTTATCAACTATTCTATTTAATAGACTTCGTCAATATTCAAATATTTCCAGATTTCAAAATGAAATTATCTTTTCGATCAACCCAATTTATATCAAATCACTGATATCACTTTTACATCGCAATTGAAACGATCGCAATTTTAAATTTCTTCCATTTAATTATATATTTTTTAAATCCACATTTTTATCACATAGACGCATGTTTATCACTTGTTTATCATTCAAACGAATGAATTTGGAAAAATAAAAACTATTTAAAATGAATAAATGAGCAAAGTGAATCACAAACCCATGATATACGTTGTAAACAGAATTGCGATTAAACACAGAATGACAAATTTTTATCATCATAACTGCGTACTACAAAACTTCGGGCAAATCAGCTGTCAACAACAACAAACATGGATAATTTTCATTAAATCTCACTTTGTGCGTAATTTAATGTTGAATGTTTTTCAATTTCAGCTGTTGATTATGCAGTTGAATAAAATTTATTTTATGATTGAGTTTATCTTCGATGAAAATGTCAAAGATCTAACAAACCAAGACGCAATAGAAATCAAAAAATCCATAAATTTGGTATTTTTTCTTTATTTGAACCGATTATGTTTATATGTTGAACAATTCCAACACTTTTCTGTAGATGGAGCTGCGCAATTTTTTTAATGGAAAATACGTTTTATATACAAAGTTCATAGAAGGCTAATCGTAATCGTGGTCAGTTATTGATAATATTTTAGAAAGAAAAATAAAATTTTGCAAATAATAAAACGTTGCAAATTTGGCACACAACAAGGAGGTCAACGATAAGAATTACACATCATCGAATTCGGAGCGGTTGTGATACTCAAAACATTCACTTTCTCCTTCTTCGGCATCTCCCTTGGATTGCGTGACGGTGAAATTTAAAATTGAAACAGATATTTTTTCAAAACAAAAACTCTAGCGTACGCTATTCAAAGTTCGTTCACACCAGAATCATGTAACGAAATTAATAAAACGCTAAATATTCATAATAAGCCCAATATCGAAAAGAAATAAAAAAAAAATATATGAAAAAATTCCGATAAGTTGAACTTGGTCATAAACGTTCTTTCTTATGTGTTTTTTATGTGTTTATGTTTAGTATCATAATGCAATTCAGAAAGAGTCAAATTTGTTCCATATTTCGCTATTTTATTATCAATTGAGATTCTGTTTATGAAGCTTATTTTGAATACAACAATCTTCTTATTTAAAAATGATGACAGCTTGTGACAGCTATAACATCGCTTCTTAAATTAAAATTATATCATTTTAATCAATGTTTTTCTGCACTCATGGCATGTTTTTCTTGATTTTATTTTGTCATAAAAGACACCATATTCTAATTAATATAGCAAAATATTTAGTTCTTATTATGTTTCTGATCTTTTTGTTGTTCACAAATATATTTAATAAACTAAACTCGTCTATCTAAAATACATACCCATGATGAGCGTTATAAATGCAGCAACTAAACAGCAAATAGTAATTTTTCCCATTTTTAGATGTAATCGGAATTATGAGAAAGAACAGTTTCTTTCGATATTAATAAAATTTTGATTAGTGAAAAATGCGAGAGAAAAAACTGTTTGACCTTTTCACAACTGCTCTATCCAACGAACATAGATCGAATAGAAACTTCCATTTTGATATTTTTATTTTCGAAACAACAGCAATAGTTGACGGCCAAGTAATTGTTCAAAGTGTTGACAGACGGAGCCAGTTGTAACGTGGAAGAATTCTAGTAACGTGGAAGTTGGAACCCGTTTATCTCTTCTGTATAAAAGCGTTTCATGAGCTCTTTTATCATTTCGATTATGGAACAAGAACGCTTTAATTTATTACTTTACTTCATGGTTCAGCACTTTTTTCTTGATATTTCAATTTTTTCGATTTTATTGAAGCATTTTTGATAAACTTTACAATGATTTACATAAAATTTAAAATATAATTTTTTTTATTCCTTAAATACATTAAATTGGTTACATTATATAAATATTGGTTACATTATATCTATTGAAAATATCGAGAGGAGAGTATGTTTTTATTCAGACATTACTCAGCCATAAGCGCTGAATAACATACTCTCTTCTCGATATATTTAATAGATATTAAGGTATTTCCGGCAAGCTGAATCAGCCCAGGCAACCGTCGTCAAGCGCTGAAATGGAACGAAAACAATAGAAGTGATTGCTATAATTATGAAAACACTTCCATTCTTACAATTATTTTTATTGTTTTCACTTCATTTCAGCGCCTAACGATGGCTGCCTGAGCTGATTCATCTGGACGGAAATATCTCAACAGAATGCCTGGATGAATAATTTTGAATAATTCTTTTCCAGCAACAATATAGTCTTGTGTCATCGATTTTAATTAGTTTTTCGCATCGGTTGGTGGTTTGACAAAGCATGGGTGTGGGTTTGGCTTTTCATCAGTAAATTGATTGATGCCCATTGTAAAAGTTGTTTCGCCTTTGGCAAATCTCAAATTATGTTCGATGATAAGTTTCACATTTTTTCGAAATATCGCGAGATGTTCAGCGTCTTCTTCAGCGTTATAGTGTTTATTGAATTTCGCCTATGAAAAAATGAAATGAATAAATGTTCGTTCGTTAATTGGAATGCATACCGATATGGGAACAAACCTTATACAAAGGCCATAGCTCGTCTATATTTGTAGCGGGCGATAGATTATCGAATGGTGATGCTGAAAAGACAATTTAATAAAAATAATTGACACTTTGGCTACAAATTCAAAAATATTCCACTTTGGTTACAAAATGCCACGGAAATTCAAATGTTTCTTTTCATTGATTTGTTTTTTTTTTTTTTTTTTTATAATAACATTTGTAAAAGTGTCAACATTTGAACTGATTTATTCGAGATGATTTGTTTTTAAATTGAAAATTTATTTCAATATCTTCAATATGCACAATTTTAATTAACGGTACAAACCCATAGTGAATTGAAAAAGTTGTTGTAAATTGAACAGCGAATAAACAAATAATGATGAAAATCATTCAGTACCAGGAACTTTTATATAAAAAACTTCACTAACGAATCAGTGGGCTATAACAAAAAAAAAATCATAATTCATTCTTTATCAAAGTTTGTGCGTTAATTAGTCATTTATATCCAATTAGTCATTTGTCGATTGAAACTTTTTCTTCGCATCTTTGTGTTCGAAATTCCAATTTGGAATGAATGAACTATATATCAGCAATATACAAAAATAATCTTTGACTGACACGTGAAGCCGAAAAAATATGGATTTAACGTAAATATATAAACAAAGATTAATTTAAAACATTGGTTATGCCATTTTTTTTATCGAACATTTATGAATTTTAATTAATCTATTTATAAATGTTTACGATATTTCATTAAAGAAACAATCGTCGTACCTTTCACTATTTCAACTGAAAAAAAGTGTGGAAAATATATTGTAGTGTATTTTTTGTATCACTGATTGGATGCTGGATGCGAACGTTCGTAGTATGCCAAAGTTCGCTCAACATCAGTCGAGACTTCGTCCTGAATTGTAGCTGCGTTTGCCAAATTGATATCAACATTGAAAAATCCTCAAAAATAACGATAAGCAAGAATATATTACATCATCTTGTATTCGGTATTGTTTATAACAAAATCACGACTAAGGCGATGAATTCTGTTTCGGTTTTTTGTTAGACGTGTTTTTTTTTCGATGCACTGATATCAATTATTGCATCATACTTACCATGGTTTTTTTTTCACATTTACTGTGACTCAATTTATTCGTTCTATATTTAATCTCATTTTTTTTTTTCTCTCTTTTTTACTTATTATCAAGTCATTTTTTAAAGAAAGTCTGAGAGATGTCCGAAAAGCAATTTCACATGACCGGACATTTGAATATACATACCAGTAAACATATCCTGCTTTGAATGTAGCCGAGAAAGAAATAAAGGAACGGCAGTCTCAATTGCATTCGGTTTTAAAAATAGTTTTTATTTGATTATATCTCTTTTACAATTACAACTCCGCAATTTTTGGGTTTGATTTTATTTATTGTTTTATATTTTTGTGTTTTTCTTTGTTTGCTCTTTAAAAAAATCTATAAAATGGTTCTATAAGTGGATTTGGTGATAAATTGTGTTCATTCAGAGATTTTTAAATCACTCCCTTGAACAATAAAATCTAGTTTCATTTTTTTTTATTTCGTATAATAATTTCAATCTGACTATTTAGCAAAGAAAGTTTGGGATCCAAATAAAAAAATATAACAACAGATCAAATTTATGAATTAAAATATGGCTGAAAGTGAATGTGTTTTAAGGAGATGTATGAACATAAATTTAGTAAGATTTTAAGAGTTTGAGTAAATAGTCATTTATGCAAATATACGCACAGAAAATAAATACTGACAAAACTAAACGACATACATGTCATATTTGGATCTAGTTGGCAATTTGTATAAAATTAACTTTTATTCGGTATACTTTTTTGTGTGGATCTTCTTCATTTGGCTTAAGTTCTGAAAAACGAAGGAACTTCAACCATCTGCTCACGAAACACAACAATAATTACTTTCTCATTCAGACAGTTTAACAACAATAACGTTTTACAGACACATTCAATATTTTTCTTAGAAGAATTCTTTTGTCTTTTATTTTAATTTCTTTTTGCGATAAATTCAGAAGTCAACGAACCAATTCGAAAACAAAAATGAATCATGTACGAGAAATCAAGAATTATTAGTTTTCGTGTTATTGTTTATCGCTTATTAATAAGGACTCTGTATTGTTGACAATCTGGGCCAGTCCATTCGAATTCACCTATACTGGCGATAGGTCCGTAAATATCGGTGTCAACAAGCGAACACATTTGACATTGTGTAAATGACAAAATACGTTTTCAGTTCGTCAAAGAAATGTAAGATGCATCCTTCGTCTGTTTCACAATTTCTCAAGATGTTAAACTCATTTGACGTGCTCGTAGAAGAAAACGCTTTTAGCGTGAATGTTTAAAATTGAAATTCATTCTTAGAACAAGCAAGAAAATGTATGTGAAAATGTCCAACTAGATCCAAAATCCATATGAAACGTCAAAACAGTGTGACAAACATTTTATTGTCATTTTAAAAATAATTACAACTTTTTTCCATACAATTTTTATATATATATATAAATGTTTGTGAATATTTGATTTTTTTATCTTGAGAATGCAATTCTCTCATTTCTGCATTGGATTTCTATTGATTTTCAATCAAAAATATATGTAATATTTGACTTGAAGTAGTTCTTATCATTTAAGTAAATTCCAATGGATTTTACGTTTATATCGTCCCGATGTGCGTACAAGCCCATGCGTGTACGCCGGTGACAATGTTTGTTCGATTGTTTTTAGTATACAAATCTCAACTATTGGTATATGCTTACATATTTCTATATAAATATCTACTGACGATTCAAATAGCAAAGGTCTATGTAAGAGACATCAAAAATCTTTTTCATTTCTTCATCATGTTCACGACCGTAAATTATTGTCATGAATCATGATTTGTATAGATAAATGACTTCTAGCATATATAGTCTTTTAGTAGTCTATAAATTCTTCGCTGAATCGTGCAAAGAACTGAAAATTATGGGTTTTTTTATTTCGTCAAAGAAAATCTCATTTGAATTTTGTTCAAAAATAATACTGTGGGTTAATTAGCAAAAATTTGGTTGGAATTTCAATTTATATAGTATACATTTGAGACTCAAATTTTGAGTAGCAATTAAACTAAAAAATTATTATGTGGCTCCTCTATTTAAAAAAAATGGGGTTAATTTAGCAAGCAATGTCTATTAAAATCCAATAAATTTAAGTCGGTTTTAAGAATGGTTGGAATTTTGGTGTCTTCCATTGAATTTTTCTTTAATTCTAAAGGACTGCTACTCTTCAATTTTCGGTCAATGCTTCAGCAATGCCAAATATTTGGTATTATTCTTATGGCTCTAGGCTTATTGTATACAGTGTGTATTTTATGCGAAACTACGTTTCATCTTTAGTGACCTGCATTCCTTGTATATTTGAAACTCTTTTAGTGAATCCAATACAATCACAAGTCACCGATGCTTAAATATAAGTACAAAAAAATGAATGAGTATTTTTTTTAATTATTTCAGTTAATTTAATGGATGTTTTTTTTTTGTTCTTTAAAAAACTGATATGGCTTTTTACAAACAATGCACTGGTGTCAGCTTTTAATACTGACGGTTGATGTTTTGTTTGGAGCTATTTGCAAATTCAAACAAACAAAAAACTTATTGTCAATTCAGCCTAACAACAAAAATTGTGACGATAAATTCCAATTCAAAATGAATGTCTTCGCAATCAGAATGATCGGCGATTTCGTAAGAAAATAACAATTTTTGTGTGTAGAGAAACTTCATGTAAAAACCGCAGTTTCAACAAAATCTCCGATCATTCCAATTCGAAACCCTTCAAATGAGCTATGGAAGAAACAAAAATGATTCATGATGGCTTAAATGTAACATTTCTGACAAAAGATTAGTGTGGTTTTTTTTATATAGGTTTTTGGTATGTGACATACACTTTACATTTATGATCTCATAAAAAAATGTGTACGATAATAATGTCTAATAAAAAAATAAAAGAACGCTTATCAATACATTGATTATAGTTCATTAAAGTGTTTTTTGATTAATATATTCTTTGTTTGGATGCATTTTTATTCTAGAACTGTCCATTTGGTAAAATATTTGGATCACTGTATAAATATAATTTTCTCGAAACTATTGTGTGAGGTAGATAATTCAATCATATATAGACAGGATGATGAGTTTTTTTTCTCTTTCTCTCTCTCCCTTGTATTTATTATATATATTTTAAGTGATGGAAAAAAGGTTCGCATATTGATGATAAGCCGCAAGAAGGATAGATTGGAAGTGCAAAAAAAAAGAAAACAAAGACTAACACTTTAAATAATATTTTACAATAAAAATAAATAAATAAAAAGTTTTCTTTTGTGCCGATGTGATTAAGTATGTAAAAATCAGTTCCATTTAGTTGTTATACAAAACTTTCCGTGCCAATTTGCTGAATAAATAATTTTGATTCCCGATCATCGTTTCTAGTGTAATTTAAACGTGATTCATAAATGGATGAATGTTTTTCTGGATAACCATCGACGTCATCGGTCGTTGAGTCAATGGATTCGGATCGTTTCGTTGACATGGCTGAAAGTAATTGTGTTTTACAGTTTGCATTAATGCTGGAACTGCTGCGACGTCGTTGATTTGCATTGCAACCGTTGCGTCCATTTTGATGTCCGAAATATACTTCTTTGCCACCACCACCAGCACCGCTACAACTTTTCTTCCTAATATTCGAAGTGGTCGCGACCCCATCTAAATCATCTTCGGTCAATTTAATCGAGCCAATCTCTTCAATTTCATCGATATCTTCAAATGTGCTGCGTTTTCGCTTTGCAAAACCATTCCTCTTTGCTTCTAAGCTAATCGAACTCGAACGTTCGCTATCACTGCCAATCACCAAAATATCTTCCAGCCCATTTTTCAAAACAATCGATGCTGTTATTGTTTCCGAATCATCTTTGATGCGTCCACTTTTCCGTTTATCACCGCTATTCGAACTACTTAAATTGGTCGATGTTGTGTGGAACGTTCCCTTTCGTGTGCCACCCATAAATAATTTATGCCGTACAACCGATTTGCATCCAAGTAATTTAAGAAATCCGTCACGAAATTTCGATGACATTAAATTATATAAAATTGGATTTAACGCTGAATTGATGTACAATAGAATGCGACAAAAATACAATAATGAATAGTAACCCTCAACGCCTAATTGTAGCATCGCTTCCGGCGGTACAATGATTATCCATAAGGTTAATGCCCGAAATGGTAGCAAACATATGAAGAAACTAATGACCACAGCGCCCAACATGAATATAACCTGTTTACGATATTTCAATACATTGCTTCGATTACCGTGCGATGTGATACCGGGATTATTCATTAAATGTCGTGCAATCACCGTATACAGTACAAGCAATACTAAAAACGGTAGAATAAAGAATATTGTAATGCTACCGACGAAATAAAATGCCGGCCAAAATGAATCGACCAACGTTAGACAGACGCTAACGATTGATCCATCATAATATTCGATGAACGTGTATTTGGCAATCCATAGCATGGGGCTAAATAAATGAAAGAAAATAAATATTACAATGAAAAAAGAAAAAAAGAGAGAAAAGAGAGAGAGAGAGAGAAAAAAATGGAACGAAAATTAAATTACATTTGGAATTAATTGAAAATGATGGCGAGATTTTCACTATTTTAAATTATGCAAAACAAAAGAGTCGAAACAAAAACAAAACTGATAAACAAAAACATCAAACTCTATATTTTATCACTAATAAAGCATTCAATCGCTGTGTTAGGTTAGGAGAGATAAAGAAATTAATGATAAATAGATTACTAATCTAAAGAAATATGTGTTTTTTATATACAAATTGTGTTAGTTTGTCAAAGAAATGCAATTGTTTCTAATTACCTGAGTTGTATTTGACTTTAAATTCTTTGTTTCTTGTTTGTTTGTTTGTTTGTTTGTTTGTTTATGTGCACATGTGTAAAATAGAGACAATTAATGACTGAGGTGTGTTATTTGCACATTTTCTTTTCAATTTCGTTGGTTTCCAAAATGTCCAACGAAATACCGAAACGCCAATGTTAACATTTCTCTTACCAAATTAAGATTCCATTCAATTGGTTGCCATTTTTTTCTTTTCTTCTAGGTTTATTTACAATACTTACTTCTAATATCATCAGCCCCAAATAAGTGTCTATACATGCATGCACCAAAATCTCATACAGGTTATTTACAAATAAAAAAGAAACCAACTGAATGTATAATATCTACAGATTTGTGTAAACTTGTGATCTTTGGCTGAAACAAAAAGCTCCAACGACAAGAGGAGGAAGAAGAAGTGAAAAATGATGAAACCATAAACTAAAAGCTTGAAAAGAAAAATCGTTGTGTGTGTGATAAAAAAGAAACGAATAAAATTGAGCCATGATGAACGTCGTAAAATTGGTTATAGATTTATTTTCGTATCTGTTCGAAAAATATCCATATTCCACCATATTCGTCATTTTCCAACTAATCGACTTATCTCATTTGACGATAAATCGTCCATCAAACCCTTCAAGCCAAAAAAAAAATGTGTTTCCAATTCTTTTGTGTGATGTGTTCATTTCGCAGAGCTACAAAAAGCCGTTAAAACAGGCTCCTTCTTTTCTCTTTTGCACTATAAATTTTATAGTTTAAAATTGCTTGCAGATTTAATAGCTACCAAAAGCAAATGGTTTTTTTCTTGTTCTAAATTAACTGCAGTAGCTTCTAAGATAAGACATGACTTACAATATTCAAGATGTAATCGCCATGACGTGAGATGCAGATACAGACTAATGATGTTCAACACACATATATTCGCAATACATACGAATTTGAATGAAATGAAATAATAACGTAAAGAATCTTCGAAAAACTTCGCATTCTTGTCAACATCAGCAGATTTATCCATGAATTTTTGAATCGATTTAATTTAGAAAAGTTTATTTTTTATTTTAATTTTTTTTTTGTTTTTGAATTTTTTGACTTAGAAACTATATAAATAGACAATTCTGCAGCGGTAAATTGATGTACGTATATATATTAATTTGAAAGTTTTTGTTTTGATTGTTTGTTTTAAGAACTGATTTAATTAATTGTTTAATAATTCCGTGTGAATTATTGTTTATTAATTGCAAATGTTATTACTTCAACATGGACTACTTAAATTAAAGAGTGAAGAGAGATTCATTTTCATCTACGAATAATTTTGCTATATATTTTTTTTGCATTCGGTATAAATTAGCATATCAATAAATGATGACAAACTAACACTTGGATTTAAGTTAAAAAGAGAGGAAATAATGACAAAATGACTAAACATCCCAAGAAAGAGAGTGTGTAAGAAAATGCTGAGATCTGACTTAACTAAATAATTATACATACATATTTTGTTTAGAAATAAAAACTAAAGTGATACAAATATTGAAACTAAACAATGGAACTGGTTACAGCTGGCTGGCTCAGATATATTAGACAAAACAGTTGCCGTTGAACACATTGCGACAATTGCTATTTATGAATATGACTGGGCTAGCAACATATCCAGTTCTATCGTATGACTTGAAATTGATAACACCATCCACCGTAATAGTATATACTAAAAATATAGCTAATGAAACTCAACATAAGTACCAAACACGTTAAATTTTGAAATACAGTTATGAATTTAAAGCTTAGAGGAGTCTAACGTGAGAATCAATGATCGTAGGGTGCTGAAATTTTGCATATAGATGACAATTTTTTGGAGGTATTTTGAAATGAAAATTGGAGTTATGGGACAAAATGTCAAAAAATCAGAAAAAAAAACAAATTTTTTGTCAGAAATGGTAAAAAAATGAAAGAGTCAATGAAATTCGATGGGAAAATAGATGTATTTTAACATTAAAACTGGTCAAAAGCGTTTTTTTTTAATCATTTTGAAGTTCCGACTATTAATTCTCACGGTACGCCCTTCCAAGCTAACAAATTAAATAAGAAGACAAAAGTTTAAATTTCTATTAGATTGTGATTTGGTATGTAATCTAAACCATGAATATACTATATACGATAAATCAATTGATGGCTGAGAAAAAAGTGAGACTATTTTGAATATTTCTATTCACTTCTGATATGCCATACAAAATATAGTTGATAATGTTCATTCTCATGCAATATTGGTCGTGTGAAATTCGGTGATATTTCGGGAAAAATACGTAAAATAAATAATAAGCTTCAAATAGTGAGAGAGAGAGAGAGAAAAAAAACACCAACAACTGAATCTATCTCTCCCTGTCTCTCTTTCACATTGAGAATAAAAGTGAATTAGCCGATAAATATATATCTGTGGTCCCAGACAAATGTATCTGAAAGCTGTACAAGTTTTTAAAATGAACGTTGCCCGAGATGTTGAAATTGAGATAGATATTTATTGTATGTCATTGTTACGTATATTCGTAATTGTTGAACATTTTAACCGAGGAATGGTATCATTTGTTGTTCAATTTGATCGTCCTCATCGGGTGGCAGATGTTCGATTTCGATCTTTTTAATGGCTGAATTTTCGCGAATTGAAATTGAATTAAGATCGACAGCGGTAACAGCTGCGGCCGCAACAGCATTTATTGATGCGAATCGATCTTCATCGAAACCATATTGAAATTTTAATTTTTTCTTTCGCATTGCTCCTCCGTTGATTGTATTCGACCGTGGTCGATCGCATGAATCATTTGAATCGGAACTCAAACTAAACGAAACTCTGGCTTTTCGTTGTTTTGCCATTTTACATCGGCATGCCAAACAATAATCCCTGCGGTCATCGTCCAATGATGTATTTGTGCTTTGCGATGATGCCTGATGCATCAGACTCCGATTCTTTCCCACTGTTTTTCCATTACAATCGTTTGATGTGTTTACGCTGCATGTGTGCGTTTCGCTTTCAATTGAACCCGTGTATGTGGTTGTATTTTTAACATCGTCCAGCGAAAATGTTCGACTGCTGCTGAGCTTTTTGCACAATGCACTGTGCGATGTAACGCTTGTTGTTGTTGTTGTTGCCGTTGCAATTGCATTGATTGCTGTGATTTGTCCGTTTTTCGTGCGTTTGCACTGGTGGCCCAAGATGTAACAACTGCACCATAGTTTACGAAAACCCTTTCGAAATTTCGATGACATTAAATTATAGAGAATTGGATTGATGGCTGAATTCAGGTACAGCATTATTCGGCTAAAGTATAGAAAATTATAAAAAAATTCTAATCCTTTTCGTTTGACTTGTTCGTCCGGTGCAATGATAATCCACAATGTGAATATACGAAATGGTGCCAAACAAACGAAAAATGAAAATACAACAGCTCCAAGCATCAATACAACTTGTTTGCGTGCCTTGAAACTCAGCTCCGGTTTACTTGGGCGAATTTTCACCATTCGACCATCTTTGGCAATGAGATTTTTTGCAATTATCGTATACAATACAATTAAGATAAATAATGGCAGTAGAAAAAATGCGGATATGGTCATCACAAAAAATGTGATACTCCATGCATTCGATGCTTGTGTCAAACAAACGGGCACATGAGATCCATCTAGATATTCTTCGGCCGACCGATACTCTGCCATCAGGATGACGGGACTAGACACCAAAGTGGAATGATGAAAAGAAAAAGGATTTTTTGTTTTATGTTTTTTTTTTCTGTTTAAATAGCAAAACACAACATAACGCTTATAGCAAAATTTGTCAACGGTATTTTTTTAAGCAATTAGCTTATTATTATAGACTAACATGAATTGGATAATGTTTATTTATCTTATTGGTGTTGCTTTGCTTTTTGGCATTGGTAGTATAGGGGGACAACAAGGGAATGTGTGTTTCGATTCAGCTACAAATGAACATTACTCTAAGGGGGGAAAGGGACAAAAAGTATGTTGGCAAATTACTTTTAACAGCAATCCCGGTTATCTGCGGTATTTTCTATTTTATTGGCGTGTTTTTTTTTTTGCTTTTACGAAAAAGTGTTCACAGTCTGTGTGGGGTTCTTTTTTCTTCTTTCATTTCACTTGAAAGTTTTACTTTCCTTTTTGTCTGGAGGTTTTTCATTGCTTTTCTTATGGGTTTTCGCTGGTTTTTTGCAACGTTTTAGTTTTTCTTACAAACATTTAGTACGCTTAGTATTAGAAATAAAAATTTGACTCAAATGATAAAAAAATACAGTAAAAAATATATGATATGTGATGATAAATCACAACATGGTATTGTGAAGTTTGCTTTTGAATACATTGTGTTGATTGATTTAATCGTAAGAGAAAAAAATGTATGTGCTTATTTTTCTTTGACAATTTCCAAAGTAATCGCAGGTGTAATTGTCAATAAATTCTATCTAGTATATTAAATACACCACAAAACGATATCGAAAAAAAAACAATACAAAAAAGAAATTAACAAAATGCAAACTACTACTTGCTGTACGCAATTTACGAAACAAAGCACTTACTTTGATTTTTTTTTTGCTTTTACCAATTAATAATAAATTCCCTGTCATAATCACAATAATAATGACATGACGTCAAGAAATTCGCAACATATTTTCATTTTATGTCCGCTAAGGAGTGCTTCAATCTGGGGGGTAGACACTGTCATGACTACCACGAATCATTTTAAATTCCGCAAATTTTCACCAATCTTTTTCAATCTTTGCTAATCAAATCTCTGAGAGATTAGAGAGATTTCCTCTCTCAATGAATTGCAATTATGTCTAGTTTAACTGATATTCACCAATCTTTAACAATTTTCACCAATCTTTATTCATAATTTCATAAATAAATCTTTTCCAGTCACAAATCTTGTGTCTACCCCCCAGGCTTCAATATGCAATAAATGCGATTCCATTTGATTCGTTTGTTGCGAGCAATCTTTGGTCAATGAATTGAGTATGAATATTTTTACATTGTCATGGCGGAAACTAATTACAACAGGATTCCGTTCGGACAATGCTAAATGTCAAATAAAACAATCAACAACATCGGAACATAGTGCGAACATGGAAAAAATATGTGCATGTATATAAATCACGCCGGGTGTAATCGCATTGATTATGCACACACAAACCCACACACACACACACATACACCATATCAACTATTCACCTTTTTTTTATTCTTGTTCTTTCGTTTCGGCCCCATCAAAAGCTTTCGACTTCTCGATTTTCATGAGCTGAGTCATCGAAGCTTTCAATTTCATTAAATACCACATGATTGCTGGCTTCTTTCCCACGCATCATCATCATATATTTATGAAAATGTATGCGCGCAACAACATCGACCTCAATGGTTTAATCTAAAGAAACTAATAATGAATTGGCTTCAACACTTAAATCAACTTGCATAAATTGTAACATTTCTTCACTCACTCACTCTCTCTCTCTTCTTTCGCCATATTTTGTTCGGCTCGTCTTCTTAACCATCACATAAATTGTATAAAAATAATCTCGGCCAATTTATGTAATAAACATTGTTCGGTGAGATGGTTTGGCATAGTTTGATTTTTCAATGGCATTAATATGAGTGCGTGTGTTTGTGTGTGTGTATGCGCGCTAAAATGTAATGTGTTATCGTAATTTTGCTTATGGTCCAATTTATAAAATGTGCGACGAAGCATTGCTTAGTGCAATTTATTCTAAGCCAATGCCAAACAGTCAAGTCACCACAAATTAGAATATGCATATGGATGTACGAGCACCCGCATGTGTCTCTCTCTCTCTCTCTGTGTATGTAAATGTGTATATTTGAATTAAAGTTACGACTTCCTAGTTAAATAAGAGAGTCCTATTTCACACCAACACATATCCGACCACAATCAATTTAGCATCGAACGAACGACACGTAACATGCGATAGAACAGTGAGTGTTCCAATTGATTCATATTATTTATGAATAGAGAAATTAAGACGATAGTGTGCTCACGAGCTATGTGCGCCGTTCATTGATATTTGAGCATCATTGTAAATGGTTTGGGGGAGTGGGTGGAAATGTGCGTATGCATGTGTGCCGATGAGCTGAGATGAACTTCGAAATGTTCGAATGGTAAAAAGCACAGTCGTAAAAACATCGAATTGACCAATAAAAATTTGACCGAATCGTGGTCCGTATACTTATAAAACACCAAATAAAATTGATTACTTTGTTGTTCTTGTTTTTTTTCTTCTATTCACGTTGATGTGACTCTGGCTGTGGTCAGTTGGGGAAACACTCAAGAGACCACCAAACAACACGCACTTATATTTTAATACAAGAGTGAATTTATATGTAGGCATATTATTATGGGGTCGTCAATTTGGCTAAATGTACCGTCATTATGGAATCGAATATCATGGAATTGTGTTAAGCTGTTGATCGATCACAAATAAAGGCGTGCTGTCGAATGCATTTTTATTTTCAAACAGAGAGACAATCTCTTGAAAGCAATTTAACAAAATTAACAACGCTCCTTTTTTCTCTCCATTTAAACTGTTTTCTTCTTTAAATATATATGGCAATCATTTTTGAAAAGTATATATCGATACATCAAGCATTACTTCCAAGTAAATTGTGACTTTTTGATACACATTTAGCTGCACATTGGAGTAATATTGCAAACAAACAAACTATGAATTCCTTTCTAATCATTTGATTCTTTGCTTTCCATGGTTGAACTGTGAATTTACATGGTTGAACTGCTTATAAATAATGGGACTATCTATAGCTATCTATAGCTACAAGAAACGGTAATAGTGCAAACTCGCCGACTCGAACTATGAATTAAATTTCAATGATTCGATCCATTTCTTTCAAGGTCGAAACAATGTGGCTGAAATTCTCCGAAAATATGGAGCTATTTTATGAGAAACTAAATGAAGGCACTGAATGTGTGGTGAAAATACCAATTGCAGCCAAATGATCACTCAAATTGAAAAAATGCAAAGAAAATAAATATCAAGTATACATTATCAATATTGTTTTTTTCTGCTGCTATAATGGAGATGGGCCCCGGTCAACAGATATTACTCAAAAACTAGTCATCCAAAATCATCCTGAAAAGTCAGAATTTGAATTGCATTTTTGGGAGAAGAGTTATCACGGTAACAAAAAACGTGTCGATTTTTCGCCTTTTCAGGCAGAAATTTCATATAAAAATTTGGTGACAGTTAGGGACCGGAAAAACAATGTAATTTACATATAAACGAGTGGACTTGAAACATGCGCTTGTTCTTCACAAACAATGCATACACAGCAACTTACAAACATCACAAGTATACGCCATAACAGCAAAGTGCTGAGTCCAAACACAAATACATGCGCGCGCTACTCAGATTCGTTTCTGTGATGAATACTTGTTGACTTCTGCGTACATGTGATCTTTGTGTATGTATTGTTTGTGAAGAAGAAGCAAATATTTGAGTCTCACTCGTTTCCGCTCCACGGTGACAGCGGACATCATACACAGCGATGCACATTGATATGACCCAAAATCGCCTCTAGTCGTGTTTTCTGATGAGGTTAATCAATAATTTTAATGTTCCCTATTATACATTTATTTCCACTGATTTTTCCTATTATACTAATATTTTCTGTTTTGCATTGATAGAAGAGCCAACTTAACGGCGAATATCCTAAAAGATAGTGAGGTTTTGCATTAAATATTGATTATAATCAATGTATATTTATTTGTGGCGTTATATTGTTTGACCTGCTAATATTTCTATTTTTTTTTTCCTATTTCTTGCTATTGAAACTTATTTTTGTACGAAAATGAAAGAATAGCTATTTTGATTAACCTCATATGTTTTCTACATGAAATATCCATAGAAAATATGTTTTGAGATGCCCATTATATTGATATATTTACAGCCACCTGAATCAGCTCAGGCTGTTATCGCCAGGAGCTGAAATGGAGTGAAAACAATAAGAATTGTAAGAATGGAAGTTTTTTATAATTATAACAATGACTTCTATTGTTGTCGCTACATTCCAGCGCCTGAAATTATTGTCTGAGCTGATTCAGGTGGCTGAAAATATCTCAATATAATGTGACTTTATTTTCGCTTCTCTTCTTTCCTGCATTTGGCCATTTTCACAATATATTTGGAAAATACGAAAAAACGCTTTTCTAATTTTCCCTCTCTCTATGCATTTGACAGTTATTACAAATTTATTCGCAAAAATATTTCCAATATCGAACAATGCAACGATGAGCTGCAAACATTTAACATTGCAATTTAAAGCAATAAAAAAATCGTCAAATGTCAATCATTGGATAGCATTTAATGTTTATCAAAATGAAAAACGACGTAAATAAATAATGGGAAGAAATTAAAATTCAGTTTTCCCTTTTAGTCAGCAAATTTGAATAAATTTATCGGAATTTTTGTGTTGAAATTCATAAATTCGACTGGAAAAAAGTCATCAAATATATGAGATAAGATGTTTGATAAATATTTTCTGGAATATTTTCGTCTATACAAAGAAAAAGTGCACTGAAATCGTTATTTGGAATGGGTTTTTCTTATTAGGATGGAGTCTGTCCTATATACGAAATTCTGATATAAAAGACGTATCTCAAAGCATTTCCTCTTCCAGGAATCAATTTGAACGTATTTT